TACCTACATTTGAAACTGTGTATGGAGTCAGCCTCCGCCACATCACTGCCTAATGCATTTCACCTGTTAACTACCCTGACACTGAAAAAGTTATTTCTAATGTCCCTGTGGCCCATTTGGATACTTGGTCTCCACCTGTGTCCCCTTGTTCGCGTACCACCCATGTTAATTAAACAGTTTATCCTTATCTACCCTGTCAATTCCCCTAAGAATTTTGTAGGTAGTGATCATGTCTCCCCCTTACTCTTCTGTCTTCCAGTGTCATGAGGTGCATTTCTCGCAGCCTTTCCTCGTAGCTCGTGCCTCTTAGTTCTGGGACTAGTCTAGTGGCATACCTCTTAACTTCCAGCTTCGTCTAATGCTAGACAAGGTATGGGCTCCATGCTGGGGCCACATACTCCAGGATTGGTCTTACGTATGTGGTATACAGGGTTCTGAATGATTCCTTACATAGGTTCCTGAAGACTGTTCTGATGTTAGCCACCCTCGCATATGCTGCAGATGTAATTCTTATTATGTAGGCTTCAGGAGACAGGTTTGGTGTGATATCAACTGCTAGATCTTTCTCTCTGTCTGTTTCATGAAATACTTCATTTACTATTCTGTATCCTGTATCTGGCCTCCTGTTTCCACCGCCTAGTTTCATTACTTTGCATTTACTCTGGTTGAACTTTAGTAGCCATTTGTTGGACCATTCATTCAGTCTGTCTAGGTCATCTTGTAGCCTCCTACTATGATCCTCTGTTTTAATCCTCCTCCTAATTTTTGTATCATCAGCAAACAGTGAAAGGAACGATTCTATATCCTCTGGGAGATCATTTACATATATCAGAAACAATATAGATCCATGGACTGACCCCTGCGGGACTCCACTGGTGATGCCTTGCCAATCTGAGACCTCATCCCTCACAGTGACTCGCTGTCTTCTGTTACTTAGGTACTCCCTTATTCAATGGAGTACTTAATGGAGTATCCAATGGAGTATTTGTGTACTTACCTAGTTGTACTTACCTAATTGTGCTTATGGGGGTTGAGCTCTGGCTCTTTGGTCCCACCTCTCAACTGTCACTCAACTAATGTACAGGATCCTGAGCCTACTGGGCTCTATCATATATACACTTGAAACTGTGTATGGAGTTAGCCTCCACAGGCTGACTCCAGTCAGTCAGGGTGTGTATGTGGGTGTGTGGGTGTGGGTGTGGGTGTGAGAGTCTAGGATGCCTCAGACGTTGGGCGCCTGATGGACAGTTCCTCATTGGAGTCAATGTTTTCATAGTACTTCGCAAATTATTATTTTTGTTTGTTCTAAGTTGTTATGCGCGAATATTTGTATTACACAAAAGTGGTATGAGCTGCTTATAAGTTAACAAAAAAAAGACATTGAAGAGGGAAAAGGGGTCAACAAGATGGTGGCAAAGTTTTGGGGAGTGAAGGTGAGGGTGGTGGATGGTAATTTTGTGTAGAGTGACTCTCGTGGGGTGTTACCTGATTGGTAACGTTTATTATGGTACATAGAGGAACAGCTGAGGGGTAATGTCCATTATAGCACGTAAGAACATAGCTGAGGGATAATAACCTCTATGATGGTACAAAGTTAAACAGTTGAGAGAAAGAGAGAGAGAGAGAGAGAGATAGAGAGATGTGGCTGTTGTAGCATACAATAACCTAGCTGTATTTTTGCTTTGCATGCTCTTAAATACCAGCCATTGTGGCATATATTATTGTCCATGCCAAGGGGTTTCTGTGTTAATAACTCATGTCCTCTAATTTGACGGAGCAAGACTGATGCATTTGATTCTTTTGCAACTCGTGCAATGCACCTGCATATCTTAAGGTCTCTTGTAAGCGAACCATTATTGTTGCATTATATCCATTTATCCAAGTATTCAACATAGCTGTATTGCAAATTCAACATAATTCTTGTTCAAGATATTAACTTTTTACTCCAATTATCTTGTTACTAATATAAGCATGATGTATGTGCTCTGTTGGTTGATAGTCTTTCTTAATAACACTAAAATGTTTATTTGAATTTGTTGACTTTTCAGTAAGTGTTTTTCGTAATTGTTTTTGATCACAGAAAACTGTTATCTAGGTGTTATCTGTGATTACCGACTTATAACCATGGTGTTATCTGTAATCACTGACTGCTATAACCCTGGATCTGTGATTACTGACTGCAGTAACCTCTGGTGTTATCTGTGATCACTGACTACAGTAACCTCTGGTGTTATCTGTGATCACTGACTGCAGTAACCCCTGGTGTTAGCTGTGATCACTGACTGCAGTAACCCCTGGTGTTAGCTTTGATCACTGACTGTAGTAACCCTGGTGTTAGCTGTGATCACTGACTGTAGTAACCCCTGGTGTTATCTGTGATCACTGACTGCAGTAACCCTGGTGTTATCTGTGATCACTGACTGTAGTAACCCCTGGTGTTATCTGTGATCACTGACTGCAGTAACCCCTGGTGTTAGCTGTCATCATGTTCACCAGACTTGTGGTGAACCTAGAGGCCGCAGCCATATCTCTCAAGCTGGGAAATTTGGAGAAAAATCTGTATTTCGGGAATATTTGATAAATCAAAAGAGGATCTGGCTGCGTCTGGCTGCTGACAGTGTTGCCCTTCGTTCCCTCTGTTCCCTGAATGCCCTTTCCCCTCAGGGCACACCTGAACACTGTTTCCCCTCAGGGCACATCTGAACGCTGTTTCCCCTCAGGGCACACCTGAATGCTGTTTCCCCTCAAGGCACATCTTGGCAGGTGTTCCCCATATGTCTACATGTATATACATAATTTACACTTGTGATATTCCTTTTACAGCATATCTCACTTGAGTAATATTCCCTCCTGTTGTATGTATAAGCTTTGTGGTGGTACAATGTGTCAGTACCTGGTTGTACAGGGTGTCAGGACCTGGTGATACAGTGTGTCAGTACTGTACCTGGTACTGTCACACTACTGCTAGATAAGAACGTGAGTGCTGCCACCCCAGGATGCGCAAAGCGCTTACGCGTTGACTTAAGAGATCTGCACCTCGATCATGTAGGCAGAGTTGGTATTTACTAAAACGCTTTCAAGCTTTTAAGTGCTACAAGATCATCCTCAACTCAAGCTTATTATTGTTATGGTGGGCCCCACAGCGCTTTGGAGCTCGTAAACTACTTACATTAAATACCAACTAAACTGCCATGATTGAGATAAGAGGTGAAGATGTCTTAAGTATACACACGAATGCTCTGTGAATCCTAGTCGCTACTCGACTTTGGTGATTGATTGATAAAGATTAAGCCACCCAAAAGGTAGCACGGACACGACTTTGGTACTCTCCAGGGACTCTATGTTTATTTAAATACTCCAACAAAGTTTTAATAACATCTATAATCACTAGGACTTATAATTTAATAACATCTATAATCACTAGCATTTATTATTACTTAACTATTGTTGAGTGTGAAAATATTTTTCTAACCAAATGCAGGAAATACCAGTGCAAAGGTTTACCATTGCTCCATGACCACTGATACATACGGGCACACTAACCATGTTATAATTAAAGTTAATGGAGTTAATAATGAATACTGTAACATATCTCAATTTGATGCATTTAGCAAATAATACAATTTTGTTTTAGTAATTCATACATTTTGCAACAGCCATAGACAGATAACACTAAGAGCTGCTGAACTAACTGACCTGACATGTCTTTCATTGTCTTGGCGCGCTGCCGAGTCTAAGCCGTCCTCTCAAATAGTACAGGTACATTGCATTTTGACATATACTGTACAGTAAATCCCCTAAGGCCAAAAAATTAATGTACTAAAAATCATGGCAGCTCGCCAAATTGACATGTCCAGTTTTCTATTCGTGAGTCTTTGGTTAGGTTAAGTTCGGGCAATTTATAATTGTACATCAGTTTAGTAACGTTGTGAACGTTCAAGAGGACGGGCTTCACTATCACGATAAGAACAGTCCGTTCTCGTGAGCATTCCCAATGTCAAGAAACTGTCGTATTATGGTGCCCCCAACCTAACCAACCAGAGGACCCAAAACAGAAAACAGGATATTGTCAATTTCACGAGTCGCTACCATTTTCTTGTACAGGAGTTTTTTTTTGGCTTTAGGTAAAGTATACGTCAATATGCGACGTGCTATAACCAGACCAGATTTCAGAGGGTGGAATAGAGAAATTATACCATATGCCAGTATTGGCTCAAGTCTTAACTAAGCCTTAGATGGTCCATTGTTTAATCAACCTGAGCATATTGTATTTCTTTAATACAACGAGAAAAGTGTTTAAATCTATTGTCATAATAAGATTATCCAGAATTATAAAAGGGAACATAATTGTTATTTAAGAATATACTGGAGTGAAATGTACAGGAGAGTCCCTAAAGTGTACAGGTTTATAATGTTTATTTCTTGGTACAGATTATATATTGATACTGTACTTGGTGTTAATACAACTGAAGCTACTGCTAGTATACTTGGTACTAATGCTTGGTACTAATACTGGGTGCTAATACTTGGTATTAATTCTTGGTACTAATGCTTGCTATAATGCTGGTACTTGTACTTGGTAATAATTCTTAGTTCTAATGATTGGTACTAATTCTTCAAATTAATGGTTGGTACCAATGCTTGGTACTAATGATGAGTACTAACTCCTAGCATCTTGTACGGGATTCACCTTGTGTTATTAATGCCTAGTATCAGTGGCTGGTACTAGTGCTCATATTGACACCTTGTACTGAAGTTGGGTACTGACATGTGGTACCATTGCCGATATGTTTGGTACTGGTACTTAATAATTATTATTGGCTGGTGCTGTCTGCTAGTACTACCACCCAGTACTAAAGGCTGGTATTAGTATTTGGGACTAGTGTTTGATAATAGTTTTGGTAATAGTGTTTGGTAATAGTGCCTGGTATTAGTGCCTGGTACTAACCCCTGGTACTAGCACCTGGTACTAAACCTCCCCCCCATCCCCCTTTGGTAAGGCTACATCGGGACAGTCAAGGGAAACGTCGTCGGCTCAACGAGTATCAACTGGAGACTCTTCGACGCTCCGGGTACCGTATTGCCTATCCTCTTGTCACCTTACTCACCCTAGTATCCCTATTGTGTCTCTTAATTCACCCCTATTGGGTCCTATAGTCACCCCCTATTGTGCCCCATTGTCACCTCTATTGTATCCCATAGTCACCTCTGTTGTGTTCCCTAGTTACCCTTATTTTTTCACATAGATACTCCTATTGTATTCCCTGTGCACCCTCTAATGTGTCCTATAGTGACCCTTGCCTTTTATAGTCACCCCTTGTGTCCTATAGTCACCCTTATGTCCCATAGTCACCCTTGTAACCCATGCACACTCTCATAACCCATGCTAACCCTTGTGTCCCATCGTCACTATTAGCGTCACTTTGTCCCCGATATGTCACTCTTTTCACCCAATTAAAGTCCTATTAGGGGGCCCCTCCCCCTCACCCTTGTGCTTTCCTGATTTGACTTAATCTTACCCCTAGCATGGATCAGTCATCGATGTTTTGCTCTAATATGAAACTTTTTCAAACTGTCACTAAAGCATGATTCATTCGTATGCAATGTTGCCTTCGGATGTTTATATCCATATAGTCACCCTAGAGTGATTGTGGAGTAGCCTTTTCACCCATGTGTCACCCTCGAGTGATTGTTTCCTCTCCTATTAACGAGTTTCACCCCTGTAAACAACTGTTGAGCAACTCAATATTTTTAGTTTTATTCTGTCATTGCTAGAATTCCTCACACCCTTGTCATCCATCAGTGGTTGGGTTCCTTTTGTAGGTCTGTTACCCATATGTTACCTCTGTTGTGTGTTTCCATTGTGTGTATTAAACCTTGTGTCACCATAATGTGGCTTGATCCCTTTTATCTCTATTAAGTTGGTATTCCCTACCCCACTCTCAAACTGGCAAATCGCTCTCTTGCCTTTTGCACTATAGTGATTCCCTCGTTGTGATTCCTTCAAAATGTCTTGCATTATCACCCAAGCTTCCCTTAAAGCCTTTCCTTTAACTTGTTGTACCTATGTGACCCACATTTGACCTTGTCTTTATCACTCATCCAGAGGCCTGGGACATTGTCCACCTCCCTATCCATGGCCACAGATAACTCCTTTATCAGTCTTAGATCGCATGAAAAACAAATATCATCCCTGAACCATTCCAGAGAGGCTCTACTTTCCCCACGTTACTCAGTCGTTCATCACTGCAACAGATATCAGGAAATCTTCTTGCCACCTGTATTTCTGTCAATTTTGGCCTTTACATATGGGTATGATGCTCTGTATTGGTTATCCATTCAGCACCAGTGTCGAATACAATTAACACAAATTTAAGGGGACCACTTTATCAGTTTTCTCACCAATATCCGAGATTTTGATATAAGTACTGTACTGTTTTTAGGCTTACTCAGTCACTTTGATACTACTACTTCATGAATGTATTGTTTATCAATGTATATAACAAAGTTGAGGGAATAATATACCGTAGTCCACAATTGTTGGCCATAAGACAAGTAGTAAACCAGGAATATACCAGGAGTGGGTTATGGGAGTTTTTCCATTCCGCAACCTGGCCTATATTAAATAAGGATTAGCTGATTACTGTATAATTCTTGAGAGTTTTTAAACCACTGCTGCTGATAGGATGAGTGGATATTTTCCATATACACTGCTGCGGCTGCTGCTGAATAAACCTGTGGTAGTACTGTAGTTCCCTTTAGACTGGCATACGTATGTACAACACAAGTGGCATGGTAGGTAGCACCATAACAAAATTAATTTTCATTGGCATTCATATTTCCTGGGGACTTGTGTTGTTGAGACAATGTTACTTATGAATGCTGAAAAGATAACATTGGTCGATCAAGAGTCAAATGTGGGTCATATTATTGTCTGATATTAGTCTCAAGAAGTGATCTACCAATGCTGGTAAGATTGTGTCCTGGAATCTGTCAATGAAATGTTGCATCATGTTCACTAATAACAAGCTAGGGTAGTACATTTATTATGCTCCTAGGAGGATAGTGTCCTTGTTATCGTCAAAGTAGTGTCTTTGTTATGTTCCTGGAATAGTAGTTTTCTTGTTATGCTGCTAACTTGGTAGTGCTAAGCAAGTGGGTTATTAGCAGTGTTAGGCATTTTTCCAAACTCTTGTGGTTGCATGACAAAGGAGACCAAGGTTTGCATGATCATTGCAGGAATGTACTGTACATATGCGTGTTTCTGAAAATTAATCGGGACTCAAATCTGAGCATTAACTGTTATGCCGGGCATAACAGTTAATGGGAAAGAACAAGTGGTTCCAAACAGTCAAAAATGCCCGGCATAACAGTTAATGCTCAGATTTGAGTCCTGATCAATTTTCAGAAACACGCACGTGTACAGTACATTCCTCGATGAAGTAGATGGTGGAAGATGCCATTCGTTGTAGAAATGTAACTTAATATAATATACTGTAGGGTTTTATGTATTACCTTATCTCTTGATTATTGCATTATTGTTTAATTTAGGTCATATTTAAGGTTTGTTCTCATTTTTCGTTATTATCCATTTCATGAGCCATGTAAGTTAATTTAAAATTTAAGCATATATTCATTAATGTATTAGGTACATGTACTGTATTATTAAACATGCTGTACGCACCAACAGCAACACAGGAGCATATACACTTCAGAGAGCAAATTCTAGACACTGCTGTGTTGAGAGAAAGTTAATTTTTGCCAGTCTCCTTACCTGAAATGCACCATGATTTATAAACATAGTCCCTGCATATGCCACTGTTTAATGAGTATAATAGCACATCTCGATGCTAGGAAAATATTATTGGGCCTACCAACAAGATATGGGCAATTAACATGCCTCTTGACATATGTACTAGTACTTACTTAAGTGTAGTTACAGGATGAGAGCTCTGCTCGTGGTGTCCCATCTTCCCAGTACTCTTTGTCATATGACACTTTGAATCTAGTGATTGTTTTGGCCTCCACCACTTACTTTGTTGCAGTGGCAGTGAGTTGACTGTTCTCCAGTATGTGGTGCATAGTTTGTTAAAACTGGTAAATTTCCTGCCAGGATTTATCAAGCAGTACTTATGAACCTGTACATCTTTTCCCAATCTTTGGCAGCTTTTCTACATTTATTAAATAGTTTATGAACATCAAATTTCCAAATCAAATGTTATCATTGTTATAAACAGCCTCCAGGTGCTACAGAGCTCATAAACTGCTTAATACAGTACAATATATGCAAACAAAGCAACCAAAGATGGAGAAAAAATGTACTAGTTTGTAAGTACTACAGTACTTGCATAACTGTGTGGTGAATCTAGGTCTCTGTGTGGGCTTGGTAAGTGTAGAGAATGGTGGCATGTTACAATTTTTAAGCGTTTAATTAATTATTAGTTTTTAACCCACACTGTTAGTCTCTGGTGTGTCAATGTCTAATAAAACACACACAATTGGCAGTTATAAATACACATGCTGAATAACAAGACTGTCACATCAGTGTTACATTTATACTCTCATAGCATATGTAAAACCACAGCTATTATTTTTAGGCTACTATCTCTACTATCCTCTCCTTTCCACACTTTCCCTTTCATCTCTTCCAACAAAAAAAAAACTTTCTTCCCCTTCCTTACACATCATCTCTCTCTCTCTTCACATCTCATCTCTCCCTCTTAGTCAATTGCTATTCCTTCTGAACTCGCACACACTTACACACTATTGAAAACATTCATGTCACCCGTTAGGAATATCAAGTGTATTGACAATTTTGTTTAATAAATTTGTGTTTTTACAAGTAAAGTATGATGTTAATGCAGTTTAATACCATATTTCCCACTAATGATGTGTACTTCAGGGGAGCATAACTATGTGCAACAGACAACAAACACTTATGATGCATGAATGGAGAGTGGGTCAATACCTGACACCATCTTGCATGACTTGTGGTTTCAATTTAATGGGGTTGCATGAATTTCTATCTATGTCTGCCTGAACCCTTGATGGTGCTTCTGGGGCATGATGCAGGCATGCCACTAATGCATGGGTGATTCCATGAATTATTGTTGGCATTCATCATGTCAGACTTTATTTGGGTGATATGTTTATGGTCTGTGTTTAATCTCTCTCAAAGTTTAGTGTGTTCAGTATTTTAAGATTCCTTAGTGATGCTGTATTTAAGGCATTTGTTATTAAAATTATTAGATTTTTTTAATCTAGATAATTATTATTTTGAGAGGGTTGATGCATACTAGTATTTTGAAAGTCATGGGCATTTTTCTAAATGTATTCATAATTAATTTCAGCAAACAAAGACTAAGATGAATATTATTTCATGATCTAGACAAATCATTTAGTGTGTGTAGTCTGTCCAGCTATTTATTCTATAAAATATGTAAACCATTAAGTCATTTTTGGTGGATGAGCAAAATTTCCATGAAGTTGTACAGTATTTCATATTTAAGTAGTTGAATATACAGTATTTATTGAATTATGCAAATGAGAGAACAAAATATATTTAATATACAGTATTCAGCCTGTTTAAATTCAGCTCATAACCCAAGGAAATTTCATAATATTTTTTTTAGTGGTAACTGGTGAGGTGGGAGAATATTAAGAGTAAATGTACCAATATGTCCATACTAACTTTAAAAATTTCTTGCCTTTTAACTCCAGGCTCACACACCAGTACCTAAAATAATTCTAAGTTATTCAAGATTTTTTTGTCTTTTGTAAACATTAAATGAATTGAAGATAGCAAGGAAGACTTGAGTTTCAGAATATTTATACAGTATTGTTAGTGAGGGTTCTACATTAATTGTGATAACCTTTTTTGTTCAGTACAGTACAGTTTTATCATGCATGCATTTTGGAACAATTTTTTGTAGTCCAATTTTAAAGACATAGATTTAGTCATTAATAGAATTTTAGCCAAAGCCAGTCCATAGGTACTGAGGCAGTGGGTAGTAACACAGATGGCTGAGTTAGAGAGAAGATGAGATAGTGTGTACAAATGTGTGTGTGTGTGTGTATGTGTGTAATTACCTAAGTGTAGTTACAGGATGAGAGCTACGCTTGTGGTGTCCCGTCTTCCCAGCACTCTTTGTCATATAATACCATGGTGTTTGCAAAAGTGAACTTTCTAATGTTTTTTCTACATTTTTGTTTCCTTAGTTTGTTCTTGAATTTGCAGTTTTAAAAAATTCTTCTTTGTGTGTAATTACAGGATGAGAGTTACACTAGTAGTGTCTCATCTTCCCAGTACTCTTTGTCGTATAACGTTTTGAAACCGCTGACAGTTTTGGCCTCCACCCCTAATAAATTAGCTTGTTCTAACCGTCTACCACTCTGTTTGCAAAAGAAAACTTTCAAATATTTTTTTGGCACCTTTGTTTCCTTAGCTTGAATCTGTATCCTCTTGTTCTTGAAGTTGCTGGTTTCCGAAATTCCTCTTTGTCAGTTTGGTTGATTCCTGTTAGTATTTTGTAAGTGGTGATCATATCACCTTTTTTTCTTCTATCTTCTAGTTTTGGCATGTTTAACGCCTGTAGTCTCTCCTCGTAACTCGTTTTCAGTTCCAAAAGTCATTTTGTAGCATGCCATTGCACTTTACCAGTTTACTGTACTTCTTGAGATTTGGGCACCATACAACTACTGGTACTGCATATTCTAATTTTGGTCTTATAAAAGTCATGAACAGTTTCTTTAGTACTGTATTTCACCATCAATATAATTAAAAGTAAGTCTGAAGGTGGAAAGCGATGCATACGCTCCTCTTACAATGTTCTTTATGTGTTCCTCTGGTGACAGCTTACTAAGCAAAACCACCCCTAGGTCTCGTTCTTTATTAGTCCTGTAATTCCTTTCCACATAATTTGTGTGTGTTTGTGTGTGATTATGAGTGCAAGAGTGAGTATATGTGAATGTGTTTTTTTTTTTTTGGGTGGGAGGGGAGGGGTTAGAGGATACGAGTTTAGTTAATTAAGACGGATTTAAATAAATTACAATTCTACTGTAAATCAAATCTTTATTTTGATATGTTATGTTCAGTACACCTTGATCAACATACCCAATGACTAAGTTTTTGAGTATTAAATATTATAGATACTACTGAAAAATAAAAATGATAGATAATGGAAAATCATTGTACAGTACTGTATGTCAATTAGTACTTGTGGCCAAATAATAGTTATTTATAGGAAAATTACTGCACTTCATATTTCTGTGCAAAGAATTTTCAGTTAAAATTTAATTTTGTTGGAAAATAGAAGTAGTGAAAAATATATTATTTGTGAAACTTTAGGTATAATGTACAGAACTTATTTAGTTAAGAGCAGGCCTAGTGATGAGATACAGTATAGCATTATCGCTGGTAGAATATCAGGGAAATGGTAGTACTGTACTGTAATTGATGATAAAAATTGATTTTGTAGGGCTGAGAACAGGAGATGCTTTTTCACTCACAGGGTTATTAACCCATGGAACCGCCTGCTCATTGAAGCCATAGCTGCCAAAACTGTGCTGAATTTCAAAATATACCTGGAAAAGATCATCAGAGCAAATGGGTGGATGTTTGACAAGCCACTGGCTTCCTGTCCTTATCGAGGCCACTAGGGTTAGTGGCCCTTGGGTATATCAGGTAAAAAACCTAAACTTACTCTGACATGTTTTTTACCAGAGAGTTTGAAGTGGAGTCCCTTCACTTCCCTGGTCAAACCCATCGGTGGCAGGTGTCGGGATGGCTGCAGAAGGGATGTGAAAAGGCCCACAACTCACTGCTGGATGACATCGCCCTGGCCCTTTCCCTCATCGTAGTTACTGCCAAGAACAGACTCTCGTCTCCATTATTCTCACTCTCTAACTCACTTCACTCGGTCTGGCAGGGGATTCTTATGCTTGTCGGTGAGTTAATTGTTTTTAAATACAGTACTGTACTGTGCTAGTAATTTCCTGTTGTTGAGGACTGGAAGCATGCTAGACTTATCAAGGTGCCCTTAGCACCTTGATAAGACTGATCTTTCATTAGGTGTAATTCACAAAAGTTGCCTATATCCCTGTTAACCATTTTCTGTTAGGTGAATGGAGGCATAAGGTATAAGAAAATGTGCCCAAATGTCTGATCCTGCATGGGAATTGAACTTGAGATCATTCAGTTGTGATCCTACTGCTCTGACCATTCTTTAACAGGACACTGAAGTCTTTAGATAGATATAGACCAAATCTTTTCTTTGCCTTTGAGAATACTGTAATAATGTTTAACAAAATTCAGCACCTTTACAAATGGAAGACAAAAATAATTAAAATTTAAAAATGTGGTACAAAACAGTCATGCTGTGCCACAGCATGATTGTTTTGTACCAATTATAATTGGAATGTTATATTTGGAATGTTAATTCCAAATATAATTGGAATTAAAAATGATGTGGTTTAAGAGTTGGGTAATTATTAACATGCATGATGCAATAATATTAAGGTTACTTCCTCGGGATGTTTGTCTTTTGTTGAATTTGAAATACTCTCCAGTACTATATTTTATTAATTTGTTTCAGATCTTGCATTAGGTATTCCATGGGTTCAAGCTCATAACTTGGAAGCACGGATGAAAGAGGAGCGCTGTAGTTACCTGGTGCAGGAATTAACATGCAAGGTAATGTCATGAGTTAGCTGGTGTACTGGTTAGAAATTGTTTTGACTTGTTTGGGGTTAGGAAAATGATCCATACCTACCTATTGTTCTACCTGTTGTTGGTTCCACAGTTCAACATTCTTGTGGCCTGGTCTCTGACTGAGCCTCCTGATTAGAGACCGTGTGCAAATAGCTTTGTGGAGATCAGAGAATGGAGGCACTAGGATTCCTGCTAAATCCCAGCTGCACTTTTTAATGGTGTTGATAATGTAACTAATGCAATCCACATTTGTATTTACTTTCGGTTAAAAGCTGTGAAGGGCTTTTATGAAGGAAGCAGAGCATGTATGAGAGTTAATTGTGTAATAAGTGACTAGTTTTATATTAATGTAGGAGAACACATTGGTCACATGCAGTCATCAAGATTGTGTATTGTATACAGTATAGTATATGGCTTTGGTCATAATTAATGTTAAGATTAGAATACTAGAGAAAGGAGGGAAATTTAGAACAAGTCAGGGAAGGAAATTGGTTTGTACTGTATAATGAAAGCCCTGGGTGAGTGGAATAAGATAGGCAGAGAGGTGGCTGGTTGGCTGCATGAAGGAGGGCTAGTACCTACCTATATGAGATGGAATATAAAGATTTTGGCCTGTAGATAAGGACAATCTAAAATGCATTTGTTGTGTTAGGAGTATATGTACTGTACATAGCTTAATGATTTAAAATAAAATAAAAAAATGTTGATTTTTTTAGTTTGCCACAACAGAAAGGTGGCAAACGTCCAAAAAAAAAAAGTAGCAAACATCCAACTAAAAAGTGGCAAATACCTAACAAAAAAGTGGCACATGCCCAACAAAAAAAAGTTGCAAATGCCCAACAAAAAAAGTGGCAAACATCCAACAAAAAAGTGCCACAATGCCAAAAAAAAGTGCAACACTGCCAACAAAAAAGTGCCAAACTGCTAACATAAAATGGCAAATGCCCAACAAAAAAAGTGGCAAATGCTCAACAAAAAAGTGACAAACAACTCTGTTGAGCACAAAATTCTGTAAATTGTAGAATTAAAAGCAATTACTGAGGGGCTTTGACTATATTAATGAATGGATGATGATCGAGTGGTTAAGAGAGACTATTTGAATCTGATGACAGAACGAGGAAAGGAGAACCAAGAATTACACATGGTGAATGAGTTAATGAGAAAGTGATGGATGAGTATGAACAAAGCATGAAAAATGGTAGAGAATAATGAAGTTCAAATTAATTTACTGAATGAATATTACATAATTTTAAAATGACAACTCTAGGAAAGCATTTTGCATTTGGTAGTATGAAAGAGTGTAGTCCTGGGAGTGTGTTCTGACTGTGGCGGTTCTGTTTTCTAAGTGATGCTGCTTTTATTTCTTCCGCACTCCATTAAGTAGGAAACTGGTAGTGATAATGATAATGTAAAATCTATCAAATTTTTATTCTAAATTATAAGAACTGACTGTCACTTTTCAAATGCTGGTTACTGTAGTGAAAAGCACAATTCTTTCATTCATGAAGAAAAAAGGGCATATACAGTAAATAAAGAAATCTTTAATTACAGTACAAGTATTTGCAATAGAACATGTATTGAAAAAGTACTGCAGTGGTACCTCAGCTTACAAATTTAATCTGTTCCCAAAGAGGGCTCGTAAGCTGAATATTCGTAAACTGAAGTGAATTTCCCCATAAGAAATAATGGAAATTGAATTAATCCGTTCCACACTCCCCCTAAAATTAACTTCAAAGTAAATTTTATACCTAATTCACCCAAACCTTTAGTACACTACTAAAGTATGTACAAGTTATTACTTACCTTTACTGATGACTTGTTGGCATATGGAAGACAGTGAGGAGGGGGAGGAGGAGAGGTGTTAGTGTTTGGAAGGGGAGTCCCCTTCCATTATTGCATCAGGTACACTCTGGCACATTTTGCCTGCATACCACAAGGACCTGCTTGTGGCTCAATGCTTGCTTGTCTTACTAAGAATCTGTCTAGCGACACTTGTTTTTCCCTACATTTTAACACTTGTCTGTAGTGAGACATCGCATTGTCATTTGAAAGGTCAATGCAATGGCCTGCTACAGCTTTATCTGGGTGAGTTTTTTCAACAAAACTTTGCAGTTCTTCCCATACTTCACACATTTTCTTAATGAGGAATGGACATCCTCTACTGCCACTACTCACAACTATTTTCTTAGGCTGAACCTTACCACTGATTTTTTTGGGACCCAAGGCAAGATATATAATAATTACTTTTATGTTCAAATATTCAAAAATAAAAAAAAACACTGAAATTCTTTGCAAAGAATTCCGGCGCGATTGTCATTAGGCGGGAGCCACTGATAAACTGAGGTGCGATTGCTATGCCACCATGTGCTAGGTTGGCCCATACGTGTATCAATAAACTCGTTTCCCGAGGCAAATCTTGTAACCCAATTCATATTTTCCGAAGAAATTGGGCTCGTAACCCAAAAAGCTCATAAGGGCATTCGTAAGCAGAGGTGTCACTGTATATTGATAAATAAATGTTTAAAATAGAGTAATTGTGCTACTAATGTTACAGGATGGTGATGTTGAAGGCTTGTGCTCATGGATGGTTCAACAGATTAAGCGTGCCACGAGAGAGAAGTTTCAGTTAACAGATGAGAAACAGCCACCTGTACCATATATCTTCAATACTCCCCAGGGCCTGGAGCTGGATCTCCGGCTCTTTAATAGGTAAGATACTTGAAAATATCAAACGTGTTAATATGTATGCTTTTTATCTTGTTTCAACATTCCGGATAATGTTGAACAGTGTGAAGTACCAATTTGTAATGGTAAATAATTCATGTTGTCAGGAATAAGAAGCATATTTATCTTTAGGTTTATACTAAGGACATAAGCTATATCCTTAAATGTAAATGTAAAGAAAAGTTTTTTTGACCATTTCTGTCCTGCTTGAGAACATACCGAACCCAGGATGCTCAATTGAGTGTCGAGGACATAGACCACTCTAATACAGACCCATTGACATTATTCATGTGTATATAAGTAGACAATAATATAAGGTTAAGAATCATGTAATAATGTCTATAAATTCAGAATATGGTTTAGGGATATTGAGAAAGTATATGAAAAGAGGACGACGATGAGAACTTGAGGGAGAGGGGGGGGGGATCAAGTAAATTGGTAACATGATAAAAAAATATACCTTGGTGTGTAAGGTGTGATGTTGTGAAGGTCATTTGAGTAAGGTGGAATGAGAGGGAAGGTCATCTTTGTGAGTAAGGTGTGAATATAAAGAAATTTTGTGTGAATGTGGAGAAGTGTGTGTATATATAGAAACTAGTGCATCATAGTGAATAAGGTGTGATTATAAAGTGGACACTGTTTTAAAATTAGTGATTAGCTTAGACTGCATGGACAGTGGAGATGCAATAATGGACATTAGTAAATGCATAAAAACAATATCCAAGCAGATATTGAATTGATTTCATTAACAGGGCAGTAAGCAGTAAAGAAGGATGCAAATGCACAAAAAGGGCAAGACAATACATTGATAAGTGAATGAGTTATAGAGTAATATGAGAAATAAGTCAAATTTGTTTTTATTAATTATTCTGTGGTATTTTAGGGAGCTGATGAAGAAAGCACTGCCGGTGCTTGTTGGCATACTGGAGAAGGAAGCTCGGGGCTGGTTCCTGCACTTCAGAGAGAAAGTTATTGCAGATCTCAAGGCACAAAATCTCAGTGATTATGAGGTTGAAAAGGTGATTGTTATAATTTTTTTGTCTGCTCTAACATGATTTTAGCTTTGAGTTTATGGATACAAATTAACACGGGTTAGCACAGATACAGTACTGTAATCATAACTTATCCTCGGGTCTATCATGTTCTCGTTTGAAATTACGGCTGTCACTTTACCTACATTCTCGTGTTTTACTAAGTTTCTTGGTTATATTTATACATTAGTGCCAGGTTGGCATGATAGCTATCTACCCACCCACCTGGGCCGGGTTTTTTTAATTTGAAAAATCCAGGTGGGTTTAAATAAGACTTGGTTTTTTGTTTTAATATGAGCCAACTTAGTTATTTCTATTTAAATTTCAATTCAATTTTTTGTATTTATTAACTAAACAGATTAAAACCCAGCCTGCCCCAACCCGAGCATGTTGTGTTTTAAGGAAAAAACAACAGGTTTTTACCAACCCTAATTAGTGCAGATCCTCACCATTCCGTAATTCATTTTGATGTTAATATTTTTGGGTAGAAAACAGAAAGAGCATTAATTATTAATGTTAAAATTGGTGTTTTGTTGAATAAAAGTAGGAAAAGGCTGTCTTTTTGGAGGTCTCTGGGACCTAACCCTATTCTTCCTGATGTACAAGAAGTCACCAACTTGCCATGATCTTACAAACATTCATACTTTCAACACTGTCCAACAGATGGTATTGTGGTGGCGTTGTGAGCTCCAACTAAGGAGCAATATAAAATTAAGTACTGTGCAGTACGTACAGTATAAAAACTGTGTCATGGCTAATGGGAGGAATATTGTTGATGCACCAGTGATAAGTATGAGAAGAGTGATGACCTCAGAAATGGGAGTGGATATAATAAAGTACTCACAGAAAGAAATAAAAACCAACACAGATTGGACATGTGCATGAAGCAAACTTCTCAACAGTTGGTTGGTACCATTATTAAAGACAAAGCTGGATTTTTGAATATGTGATGATTTCATCGCTAACGAATTTAACTATAACCAAATAATGCAATGATGTTATTTTTTACATGGAAGGTTGTCACCTATCTTCCTCATCTTTCACCCATTAACCCTTACACTGCTCCAATCACTATCTGCAATTTTTTCCTGTGTGCAAATTGTCACATGCAATTGTTCCTTATTAGTTTTCAATACATCATGATGTTGAACTTTTAAATGGCCTAGGAGTTTAAATGTTAAACATTCTACTTAATTATTATAAAAACAAGCAAGCAGGGGCAACTCCATCATCCTCAGCAATACCAATGACAATAGTCAGTGTAACTGTTCAGGAGCCTAATTTGTTTATAGCATTGTGCCTTTGAGAAATCATATTCCAAGTTTTGACTAACTGATTCAAGGCAGAAAAATAGGAATGCATCTTCATTGTAAGTTGGGGAACCCATTACCTATAAGATTAATTTGCACAGTTTTTGCAGGAAGTTAACCCACTGCATCAAATCATCAACTGGAGTAGTTAAATACCGTTTATATATATTTATATCAATTAGTGAGAATGACTGTTGACTTGGGCACCACTGGGTAGTCCATTTAGGTCTCTAAAAATTAGTTACAGGTAATTTGAAAGATACGGTCATAGTCAGAACATTATTTACTAGGAAGCAAGTACTTCTGTGACACGTGTCCTATGTCAACTGTCAGGTTAGAGGTGCTGCTAAGGAGAAGAGAAAAGATGTTCTCTTGTTGAGTGGTGAGTATATAATGTTCTCAGCTTGTAGGTCTTTGCCTTATAAGGCCAAAGCCAGGATCAGTGATTAGTGGTGAGGATAGAACTGAGCCAGGATTGCTTGTCAGCAGACCAATATTAATTCCTTGCTTACCAGTGGCGAGACTCACCATCCCAGTCATTTTGCGACCCTGCAGTGAGAGAGTACAGCTGTTCACGGGTTGTGTGTTTAACATAGAGCAGGCTAGGGGCTGTTGGAGTGTCCAGCAGGTCACTACACCTTTATCCAGGAGTGAGCTGCTGCTGATACATGCATAGTGCCTTCAAAAGGAGTTGATTATAATTTTCAATTGCCTATAAGTAGCCTGAGAACAATAATATATAAAGAACTTCAACAAAGTTCAAGAAGTAAATGCATAAAAACAATATCCAAGCAGATATTGAATTGATTTCATTAACAGGGCAGTAAGCAGTAAAGAAGGATGCAAATGCACAAAAAGGGCAAGATAATACATAGATAAGTGAATGAGTTACAGAGTATTATGAGAAATAAGTCAAATTTAAGGGAAATTATCTAAATTTGTAAATCTAAGGGAAAGTGAAATCTACACTGGTTATTCCATTTATCATCACACTATCATGCAAGAAGAGCCACACATCTATGGATCATCTAATAAAATCAGCAGACTCCTGCTCCCAAATCAAGCAGTACATGTGACCACTGCTCAGCTTAGATTTGGCTATAAATACTGTATCTCTTGGAATTTTCATTACCTGCTGATGTAGACCTGACCAAATGTAAACTGTGTTAGGTAAATTATTCACACACCTTCCTTCACTGTGTGGTGGAGTGCAAAAAGATACATGAATTTAGAGACAGCTCTATAACAGGCATTCAGGAGATGTGTAAATATTGAATTCAAAATTATCTGCTACCAGAAATTGTAACCAAATATCCCCTGTTTGCTAACTGCAGGTATTAAATGTGGGTCATTATGACCTTTCCACCGCTGCTCACTGGATAGCGGGTGGGAGACAGGATAAACATGTCAATTATGTAGCTAGCTCACCATATGTATAAGTTGTTTAGCTTGGAGACTGTACTTGTGGTTGGTCTCTGACCTAGTAATTGTTGATATAACACGATACATTAAATTTTGTAACTACCATGTCAAAACTTTAACTTGCTTAGCTAAGTGGATTTTGGGGTTCAGTCCCCGAGTCCATTATGTGCCTCTGTAACATTTTCCACTACCACCCACTGGATGGGTAAGAGGTGCATAATAAATGAACCAGACTAAAAAACAACTGAGTATTCATATACGTACTATAAATACTGTACTATACAAATATGTATGTAGGCATATATACATACATGCTCCAATATATATATATTCATATTTTCATGTTGACATATATACTGTATAATATATATATACAAATAGCAACAATCATTTGTAACATAACTTGCATTTTACAGGAAGGTAATCGTTTAGTACAAGAGGAATATTTGGGCCGTGTATATACTGCCATCCTGGCACATCCAGCCCTTCAAGAACTTGGTGAATCAGTTCCACTACTACTAATTAACCATGCCAAGGCAGTTTTGCTCATGCACAGGTATTTCATCTTTCATTAATGTGACCATTTATCAGACTAATCTCCTTCAGAGAGATAGTTATTTAGGTATCACTAATCGGGATACATTATGGGTTTTTCTCTTTTATTTCTTTGTTGAAACTCTTCTACAGCTTCTATTTGTTGCCAGTATGAAATTGCCAGGCTGGTTTTTCAATGTTATTTTACATTTGCAAGCAACACATGCCTACATACCCCACCAACACATGCCTATATACCCCCCCCCCCAACACATACCTACAAACCCCTCCAACACATGCCTATATACCCCACCAACACATGCCTACATACCCCTCCAACACATGCCTACATACCCCACCAACACATGCCTACATACCCACCAACTCTGAACTGTACTCTTTCTACAGTACAATACAGTATTGTAAGATAGGCCTGACATAGGGATTGGTGATACCCCTCTCAATCAGCTGAGATCGGAACATATGCAGTTATTTATAGTTTGAAGCATAATGCTAAGATAAGACAGTTACAGAAAAATTTGCTTTAGTAATTTATTCTTCATAGTTTGCATGTTGCAATGCATTTCTGAACATTTTAAAATTATACACTGCTCAAATAAATATTCATTGTGTTGATCACACTCTAAAGAGTACTATCATTGTTTTTGTGGCACTTGTTCATATGTAAGAAAATATTTAACAAAACAAAACAGCTTTAACATGGGAATATTTTTTTGCTTAAAGTTAGTGATAAACAAAACTTGCTCAAGTTTCTCTGGAGGTTTGGTATGTGTTTCATTTAGTTGTGAACAAAATAACATACTGTATTAGACAATTAAGCATATACCTGTAGTTGGTTTATTACAGGTGAAATCTCCAATTTAATTTTTATATTTACAGAGCGTTAGATGAAGTAGAAAGAATATATGAGGAGGGTGAACGATCCCGGCGGGAGGAGCTCAAACATACACATTCCATATTTTCCCGTATTGAACCGTGGCTGGCTGATGAGTTAAGTGCCACTCACGATACCTTAACAGAGCAACACAAGTGGCGGCCCCATGAACATGCTCTGGCATTGTGTCGACAGCATGATCTTCAGCAGCATGCATACTTTCTCCAGAGAGATCTTTCATTCATGAGAGAGGTATTAATATTTTTAAGTTGTAATATGCATAAACTATTCAGTACACAGTGTATACCGTACTGTATTTATATTTAACTATATTTAGGTAGTAGACCAATTGGGCTTAGCCACCCATGAAATAAATGCCTTTAGCTAGAAAAATATAGTACATTACTCTTACCATTTTTAAACTTTACCCTATACTCCCATTTTAGTACACTCAAACAATAATACCACTGGTTAGTATGTTAAAGGATTTGGGGTAAGTTGGTTATCTTGTCGCAAAAATTTTGTAGGCCAATGGTTTATGAAGAACCAAAAGTAATGGCTATAAAAGTGTGTTGACTTGGGTCTCTTGTCATTCCCTCATTCTTCCCATCTGGGAGGGTTGCCAAGTGAGTTCAATATATAACTCATGCCAGACTATTTCTGTATTAATTAGAATGTTAAATATTTTATAACTTTAATTGTACATATAGTGTAATTGTGGAATCAAAGTAATACAATTCTTAAAAATTGGCCAGTGGTGTGTGGGTTGTCATTATTTGCACTAAATTCTACATGCTCATTAATTGTAATAATAACCACTAGTTCACACTCATTAGGGCTATGTTACATATACAAATGCAATCCATTATACAGTACTTTTAATCTAATAACTTAGTGCAAGGCGTCTTGTAACTTGAAGTAAAATGAATGTATTTGTGCCTATTTTACATGGATATAATTATAATGTTATCCTTTAACAGAGAGAACCAGTTTTGATGAAGGAGCTGAAGAACCTAAAAGTTGCTATGCGAGTGTTTCAGTGGAGAACACAAGTTTGGTTTCCTGGCAACTATGTAGTTAGTCGGAGTTTTCAAGGCGAGAGTGAAATAATTCCTACGGTATTGGCATCGTCTCCCACCTGCATCACTACCCCACGCACAGATCCAAACCACCCAGTGTACTTGCTGGAAAAACAGGTAACTTCACCCTTCATTGGGCAGTAATATTTATCCTGTTCTGTTTTGTGTCTGAAGCCACTTTCCCAAAAGAAATTACCTTTGAAAAATCTCTTCAAATGCTGTATCTTGATAGACATATGAAACTGACAGCTAAAGCGATGGTATTAGAAGCACCTCAAGGTAGTCTAATAGATGATAAATATTGCAACTGTGTATTGGATACTTTTCTCATTATTTTATTTGAGATTTGTAATGATGCTTTGATAATAGTAATTGTGACATTTTCATCTTTCAGTTAATCAGAACAACTTCTACACGATGGCCTTTTTGGCGTTGGTTTAATTTTTTGCATAGATCATGGGCCTGGACGTCTAATGCTCTCTTCTTCTTTGGGGTAAGATATCTCTATACATAGTACCAAGTTTCTTAAATATGTACTATAGACAGATTGATGTAATAAAGGTAATAGAATGGGAAATATTTGGAATAAGCTTCAGGGGAGTGGCAGTGTGTGCTAAAACTATTAGAAGAATATATAATGCATCAGGAAATCTTTAAAGAAAATGGGTCATAGCAGAGGTCTTTTCTGTTAACTATAGATAGGTAAGTACAGTATGGAGGTTATGGATAATAGGTACAGTAAGGACAATATGCAAGAGTGCAGCTCATCCTTCTGTTGAGTTAGTACTTATAGTAATGATGAGAACCATTGTACATATATGGTGTAATGGACAATTAGAAAGTAAACATCATTACTATTGAATTTGGACAGACTGGAAAAGGTTCTGTATTTATGTTGCAAAGACAACCTTAAATAACCTGATCTAACTTTCCTAGGCCTAATTCACACTATCTGAGGCCTAATATAGTACATACATATGCTATACTAGGCCTAGGAATATTTAAGTTTATTTTTTAGCTTTATTTTTTTAACTTTATAAAGTAAATAGTACCAAATTCTACTTTCTAATTGTTTAATATATCAATGTTTGTACTATTGTACACAGTTACAAAAAGTACTATCTAAACAGGAGGATGGGTTGAAGACTGAGGTATACCGGAACAGAGCAACAAGTAGACAACAACACAACAAGAAGTAAAGGTGAACAAATACGTGTGGGAACGGTCTTACGGTGGCATAAAGCGATTACCACTGTCTTTGAAGATTACAGCTAGAGCTGATTAGTGGTTTTCTTGTCCAAACCATTTAATTACTTAGATGGCGAGCACTGTTTTATTAGGTTGAGGACACATTATCATGCTGGTACTGTACTTGCATATGGTATAAGGCATGAAGTAAGCCATCCCCACTAAATTAGTTACCAGAATATGCAATCAAATAATTAAATAACATGGCAGTAATGATCTGTCTGCTTCTGTATACAATAATTTCTATGAGAAGAACAGTAATGAAACAATTAAGGCAACCTGGAAGTCACTGTACTGTCACATATTTTAGCTGTATGTCACACCTGTACATGTATATCTATTGTCTATATACAAGGAATCCACATATATACCGTACTGTATATGTATATGTGGATTCCTTGTTATTTGAAACTCGTTATTTGAAACTGCTTTCTCACAAATTGTGTATTAATCACAGGTAAAGTAGTCTGGGAAATGGTACCAAATACCCAAAGGTCATTTAGGCTGGTTTGGATTTGATTTCTTCAGATAATCAGGATTCAAATAATTTTTGTTTAAACCTTCCTGTCTGGAAAGTGGAGGACAGAGGAGGAGAAGTTCGGGAACCAGACAGTTCAGCAGGACTCCAGAACCCAACCCAACACTGTGCACCTGCATACCAGACATGCAACAGAGTAATTATGCTGACTCGAATCTAGATGAGTAGGGGTACTGTGTCGCTCATAAACTTGGACTTTTAATAAAACATTAGAAACTTGAGAGCTTCCAGAAATCTGAAAGAGCTGAAAGGCTGTCCAAGTATGCAACAAATGGAACAGATATGATGCACTAAGCTATAGATCATTGTCAGAAAAATGAGTTTATTGCAAAATGCTGGAAAATGTAATCTGGATGAGAAAAGTGGAACACCTGAAGAGGATAAATTTTGTAACTGAGGAGCAACACAGTTTCAATAGAAAAAGGCATGTCTGGTAAAATATTTTTATAACAGGATCATTCAGATAGGAAGTGAGAAAGGATGATTGGTAGACTGCATTTTCTCAGACTTGTAAAGTTTTTGATACTTATCTACAAGAAGCTATTTCATAAGATATAGAAACAAGTTGAGATAACTGGAAAAACACAAAACTAAGTAAGGGAGTACACAAGATACAAAGGACCACAGTCAGAGTGGATGTGTCAAGCTGGAGAAATGTGGGAAGTGCGATAGGTCCTGCAAGGTTTGGTCCTAGGCCAGTTGCCGTTCTTAATCTATATGAACGACCTACCTGTGGAAGTGAGCTCACACGTCTATTTTTTCTAAGATAACATAAAGCTAACGATAAAATTAAAAGCTGAGGATTATAGTGTGCTGCAAGAAGATAAGGATTTAATAATTAAGAGTCAAATGCAAAAGAATACAGCAAGCTTGGCCTGTGACATATAAGATATCGTCATTAATGCTAACGAGATGAAATTGTTGCACAGCATTAAATACATCATTCAAAGTGTGGCTTGGAGGCTTTGTTATTGAATATTTATCAAATTAACATACTCTATTTTATTTCAAATAAAGGAATATGTATCAAATTTTACACAGATCTTCTTCTCATTTCAGGTATGGTTACCTCTATGTTCTCCAGTCAGCCTTAGAGCTCTCTTGTGCCGAGATCCATTCATGTCAGATTTTGAGTTATCCCAGGTATGATATCTTCAATATCATTAAGCTTATATCTAAATTTAAAACAAAGTAAAAACTGCAAACTGTATTTATGTAAATTAAAAAAATTATATTTTTTGAGGAAAATGTGTAAAGGGAAGAGAGGGGGCCTATGGAGGGTATTGAGGTGAAGGTTGTCAAGTGATCAGTTTAACACTTTCGCCCAGCGATCGCACACACGAGAGCGTCACCAAGTTTTGTTTTGTTTCGCATGGGTAACACTTGCTGGGGTCATGAGAATAAATATTTGTATAAATTCCAATTTCTATCCGATCTACTTGGGGATAGTTTACAAATGTTCGCCATGAATTATACGTTTTCTCTAATAGCCAAAGAGCTTACTTGGGAGAACGGCATGGCAGTGAATCATCGTGGTAAAAAATTGTATTATTGACACGACGAGTATAATCGACTTAGTTTATATTTTTTTTGCCGGTCGAACGCATTCTTATGTGACGTTTTATACTTATGTTCTTCTAGAACATTCTATTGCGAACACATTGGTACAAAAATGAAATACGTACATCGAAAAATATGTCAGGACAGTGAGTTGAATATACACTTTTCAATGCGGGTTTCGCCGATATGCCGCCGCGGGTAACACTTCGGCCACTTCCCACACTCTTGTGGGTGGGCTGCGACATTGATTCTATATTTATATGCATATGTCCATGTAGAGAATTTTATTGTGATTTCAGTGATACCTGTGGGGAAATTCCAGGCAGCTATTCTCTTTTTTAAATTGACTTTGATAAAGTTCTGTCTTATTTATTTTCTTAGTAAGTAAGAATTAATTGAGTGAACTGTATGTACTTGTAAACTGCCTGAAATTATCTCACACACTAATGGGGGGGACAATTGGTAGCCTAAACCACATTGATATGGCTCCTTCTTAAACTACCAATTGTTTACCTTTTATTATTATAATATTATACCACATGTGGTGGTTCACTTATCATTATCATACCACATATGGTGGTCTAATCTACTAGTAATAATTACTAATTATGACTACTAATACTGATACAACAAATGGCTTTGCTGGGCCTGTTGTGGGGGCCTGCTAGGCGTTTAGGTGTAGCATCCAGATTGGGTGTGGCTCTGTGCCTCCTTGTGCCACGTAATGGCGGCTGGTGGGAAGGACAAGGCTTGGCAAACAAGTAGTTAATAATGTGTATGAACCAACTGTCTGCACAGATTCTTGCTGCTCCTCTCACAATTTACCTGTATGGGATGCAAGGAATTAATCAAAGTTCCCTAAACATATCAATTACAGGTATGACATGAAGTGTGAGGGCTGTAATGGAATACACGTACATTGTGTTTGTTTTTGTCCTACCCATAACCGACTTATATATAAATGAAAATATGTGTACACTATAATTTCAAATACAATACTTGATAAGCCGGATACGGTCGTTGTTGTGATGTTGATAGGCTGTATTGCTGGTTGTTGACACGTAATTGGGGTGTCTAGTTGTTTCACCAGCTCTGGAGCCATGTACAGCATATGGCTGTTTCTTTGCTATTGTTCTGAGAGTGGGAGCGTTGGTCCCTCAGTGAAGCCAACGCCCTGAGGCTGGTTCATTCCTCAAAGTAATTTTACATTAACAATGGAACCAAGCTACCTTGTGGTGTTAATAATTATATTCAGTCTTGTTGATTACTTTTTTGTTAAATCTAGATACAAAACTATTCTATTAACAATGTTTAATAATGTAAATATAAGATGACATCGATGACGTCACGGAGTCTCCCATTTTCCATCCTGAACGGATTACAGACTAAGGGGGACTATGTTATGTGTGTGTCAGATTCCCGACAATACCAAAATTAACTCTGTAGGACAAGTTTGGAGTTGACAACCCTGAAGATAGTAGAAACATTTCGTTCCTGTCTGGCGCTCACGGCTAGTGATCGACGTAGTTTTTTATTTGGTGCTGATCTAACTTATGTTTTGGTGACATTTTATACTTATGTTCTTCTAGAACATTCTATTGCGAACACATTGGTACAAAAATGAAATACGTACATCAAAAATTAACGTCAGGACAGTGACAAGAGTATACACTTTTAAATGTTGCCGCTCGATCACCCGAAACGCTAATTTCACTTGGGAAAAGTTTTTTTCATTCGCCGTTTCGCGAAAGTGTTAATGTAAGTGTAAAATTATGTCTCTGTTAGTTATTTAATGTGTATAGGATGCATTTATGAGAGATGTTGGAGCGAGGGTATTAGATATACATAGGCCCATGAGTGTGGGCCTATGTATGGAAGAAATACAGGCTGCCTTTGATGTTCCTGCAAAATTTGAGCAAATAAAAGTTGCACAAAATGAACTTAATGGTAGGCATATATAGGGAAGAGAATTAGCAGGGGATAGCACAAAGGCATTACATCTATATAGTACTTAGAAAGGGTCAGGATAAAGATTTGGGTTGGGACGGAGGAAAGGAATGGTGCCCAACCACTTGGGCGGTCGGGGATTGAATGCTGACCTGCATGAAGCGAGGCCGTCGCTCTACCATCCTGCCCAAGTGGTGTACAAAAAGCAAGGATACATTTTGATGGCCTCCAAATGGCCATCGTTGCTATGGCCATTTACATATATGTACTCCATGTACTGTAACACGTACAGTACTTGTTATTGCTGATGACATGGTAGACTTGAAGATTAATGTGAATTGTGTGTTACTATGTTCTCAACCTACATAACTACAAAAAAATTCACCCCTCAACACTTCAGAAGGTTGTCTAAAAGTGCTGTGTACCTCCAAGTCTGTGTATCCCAGTACTGCACATATTGGAACTTCATACACATTGTACAAGTCTTCTGGTTGAGAATAAAATACATATGTAAGATAGTTAAAAGTTTTGTTGACGTGTATGTGGGGGAGAAGACAGTTGAAAATGAATTTAAATAACAGGGATTACTGTAACCACACAAATTAAATCAAATAAAAAACTTTAATCATAAATGGTTGTACATTTATAATTGGGAAAGTTTTCTTATAAATAAAGTACATTAATTACAGTCTCATTAACAGCATAGCACGTAAACATTGTCATTATGAGACTTGCAAACTAAATCTAAACTAAAGCATAGAGAAAAGGTAATATGGCAAGTTCTCTGGCTTGACAATATAACTTCAAAGGGCTATGTAAATTTGCAAACTAAACTTGGTGATAGGTTTTACATTGCCTGAATTATTCTAGTTGTTAATGCCAAATTATAAATTATGATATAACACTTAAATATGGAGCAGTTAAGAGTGGTTTTTGCTATTAGTCATGTCAGTTAACAATTCAAATGATCAGAAATAAATAATAAAAGGCTATGTAAGTATTCTATTTATGCTGTAGTCTTGAACTGGCTCCGTCAAAATAGTGACTGAAGATACAATTAACTTTGATAATTTCAAAGTTAATGCCTTTCAACAAATTAAGTCCTTGCCATCGTTGCATCCTTCCTCCGTGGTTGCTTCTATGTGACGTAAAGGGCAGCAACAATCTATTACCAGCAAAACTTTCCAACCAACACTAAGGAGAAGATCAAAGTCAATGTTTCGTAATCTCTCTGAACTTACCCTGTCTCTCTACTTGCGCATTTCTGACTTAACCCTGTCCTGACTTAACCCTGTCCTGACTTAACCCTTAAACTGCGCAACGCGCCTGCAGGCTCACGTCTGGTTTGCGCAACGCGCCTCCGGGTATTTGTATTTTTCACGTTCCATTCAAAACTCTTGCGGCTACATGGGGTTCACATCAGCTTCCTCAGGGCTCTTGTAAACAGACGCCATCTTTAAAAAAAATCGTGGTCCACATTCCCGGGTGTGGGAGCCTCAGTAGTGTGTGAGCAACCAAGGCTGGCGCTCGCAGCATGAGCGCACAGCACTGCTGTTCAGCATGTGACCACAGCATCGCCTAATAATGTCAAAATATATATATAACTTGTATTATTTAGCTATGATAGTGTTATATTAGAGCCCGAGTGTGATAATGACTGGGTACAATGTTCAAATATCAGTGATTCAATGCTGTTCACGATGTTCACAGCGCTAGCCACAGCACCACAGCATTATTTCGTTCATCTAGGAATCTTCAAATGATTTCTTAGGTTCCTTTTCAAAATAAACGTTTGGTCAATTATTCATTTACAGGAATTAGTGACCAGGATTGTGATAATAGCAGGATTGTGATAATAGCAGGATTGTGGTTATAATTAGTGTTGTGGGTAGTATTGTGGAAGGAGGAATTTTGATGAGGGAGGGAGGGCAAGAATTGAGGTAGCCTCATTGTGTGTGTGTGTGGCTGCCACTCTTGTTTTGCTCACCATACTAGCTTAGTGGTTCGCTATGGGCAACACATATGTACATGGGTATATATAGTGTGTGTATATAGTGTAAGAACAGCAACAGGAGAATGTTGAGAGGAGCTATTTAGGTGAGGGAGGTGACGTAATCATAGCGTCGTCTGCTGTGTGATTTTTCATGCAGTGAATGGTGGCCACTGTACTGTTTGGACATAATACCGGCCTACTTGCATAGTTCTGGTAAATAAAACATGTAGATAGGTATATAGAACATGTGTAATAAGAACTATAGCAATATAGTGGGAGGAGCAATGTTGGCGAGTAAGATGTTGGAGTGAGGGAGACTGGCTGGGTGTGGCTGCTCTCACTCGAGGTGTCTGAATGTGTTCATGGCCAAATGCTCCTATTGGCCCATACGAGGCAGCTGCTATTGGCCCATACGAGGCAGCTGCTATTGGCCCATACGAGGCAGCTGCTATTGGTCCATACGAGGCAGCTGCTATTGGCCCATACGAGGCAGCTGCTATTGGCCCATACTAGGCAGCTGCTATTGGCGTATACGAGGCAGCTGCTATTGGCCCATACGAGGCAGCTGCTATTGGCCCATACGAGGCAGCTGCTATTGGCCCACACGAGGCAGCTGCTATTGGCCCATACGAGGCAGCTGCTATTGGCCCATACGCGGCAGCTGCTATTGGCCCATACGGGGCAGCTGCTATTGGCCCATACGGGGCAGCTGCTATTGGCCCATACGAGGCAGCTATCGGCCCATACGATGCAGCTGCTATCGGCCCATACGAGGCAGCTGCTATCGGCCCATACGAGGCAGCTGCTATCGGCCCATACGAGGCAGCTGCTATCGGCCCATACGAAGCAGCTGCTATTGGCCCATACGAAGCAGCTGCTACGCGATGTTCTGAATGTGTTGATGGTAAATGTATATAGTGTGTGACAGTGTATAGTGAGTACATATGTTGTAAATATACATAAATGAACATGAAACATTGGTGTGAATAACTGTATGATGGGAGGGGCAAAGTTGGCGAATACAATGTTGGAGAAGTGAGGGAGGGCTGGCTGGGTATGGCAGCTCTCACTCGCTGTGTTCTGAACGTTTTGATGGTGAATGTATATAGTGTGTGACAGTGTATAGTGTGTAAATAGATTGTATATACAGTATACACAAATTAGCATGATACATAGTAAATATGTGCTGCATATGTGTACACAAGTTTCATGCACGTAACACAGTGTCTACGGACAGTACGGATGTTGTACTGCGATATTATAGTGTACGTGTTCATTATACATTGGATTGGCACATAAAAATAATGAAAATGTATTTGGAAAGGTGCGCAAAAAATGAACGAAAATATATTCGCGGCAATTTGCGCACCCCGCCCCGAGCGCCCCACCGCCCCCGAGAGCTTATGGCACGGGCGCACAGGGAATGATGACGTCACGCCCCAACTTCCGGACCCCATAGCAGCCAAAGTAAGTACAATTTCGACTTACCCATACTGAGGGAAGGGTTTTTGACACTTTAAAAAGAAAAAAGAATTTTTTCCAGAGAATTTATTTCCTGTGCACTGCGGGGGTGTCACATTTGGGGGCAACGCAGTTAAGGGGTTAACCCTGTCCTGACTTAACCCTGTCCTGACTTACCCTTGTCCTGGCTTACCTTGACCTAACTTACCCTACATATTTCAAGGGGGTGCCTTGATGAATTTATCACCTGGGGTCATTCAAGAGGGTGGGGGGTCGATTGAGAATTCTTCACTGTTTCCCTTTCCCACACATGGTTCAACAGGGATGATTTGAAAAGGTCCCCTATTATATTGCAAATGATTTTCTGTATGTTGTACCGAGTTCTGGAAGAGTGGAATTCTTACCTAAGTGAATGACTGAGTTTTGTTTAGAAAGGAACTTTGTCAGCACTTAAAGCCTTAATGTCTTGCATTTTCTTATCATTGATTTGAAATGCACTGAAGATTTTTTGTCATGGAATCTTGTAATATATAAGTTCTGATTTAATTTGGTCTCAATATTTTGCATAGTGGATTACTCTTTGATATTTAATAACTTAACACAAGAACACTACTGAAAGACAATTTTCAGAAAGTTAAGTAATGTTTTCTTTATTTCTCTAAATTCAATTTGTCTTCTTTAGGTAAATGGAACAGTGTGTCCAAGTAAAGCCTCACTAACTCCTACCCTAGCCTCCAGATTACACACACTGTGGAGACATATCTCTAAATCTCGGACCCATTTTGAAACTACGCCCGATACAGGTAAGACGACGAACATTTTTACTGGGTAACGCAAGATTAAAATATTTAATATTTTTAAACAACATTTAAATATAGAGCATCTAATTATTTAGCTGGCAGCATTTAAATGTGTGATAATATTTTATTATAATTATAGCTCCTGTACTTGCAAAGTGCATAGTACTTTACCTTGTTTGTTCATTAGATATAATTCTCACAGTCAGTATATCCACTGACTGTGGCACAGTCAAACTATGGAGCAATTACATAGCATTTGAAGGATAACACTGGCATTGTGATGACTATATAATCTTCAGACATATGGCCCTAAAGGAGCTTCAGAAAAAAGTTCACTCTGTTAACATTTACACCAACATCAGCTACTCTTGATCGAACGTACGAAAATGTACTGTTGCCCCAAAGAAACTAAGTTTAGTACAGTACTACTGTATTAATTTTGTAAAGGGCGTGAGAATGACGGTGACAACCAAACCCTGAAAGCCTAGTATAACACATACATGTATTAAATTAGGCCTAAGATAGCATATATTAGGCCTAGTTCTATTTAACCCTAGGGCAGGTTAGGATAGGTTGTAGAGTTACTGTTCCATTATTTAGCAAGTTGTATTCCAAAATTATGAAATGTAATTTTTTTTTTATTTTTTTTACAACAGTTCTTTTTTGTACATTCTAATAATAGTTGTTTAAGTACTGTACTAGATTTTTTAGAGGATGGGTTGCATAATTCACACATATTAGACCCATATATGTACATATATGTACATATATGGGTCTATATATGTGAATATATAGTACATATATGTACACATATATGTACTTTTACCATAATACAGTACTATATTGTTTATTTATATGTGATGTCCAGTGAGGAATTTCTATTTCCAAAATATCCTTTTGTCTTTACAGGATTCATTGGAAAAGGAGTGACTCGTCACATGAACCGTGCTTGGAATTACGTAATGAAGGGCATCGTGGGCACATTACTTCTTACCACTGTGTTTCCACTCATCTGCTTACTCGTGTCTCTAGGCTCTATGGCTATTGCTGTTGCTGCTCCTCTGTGGTAAGTGTCTTCAGGGAAAATGCCATAGCATAATTGATAAAATGTAGTGAATAACTATTAATGTTGTTGAAGTCTTTATAGCAAATATAAATACATACAGTATTTCTATGCCTTGTTCTCTGTTCACACTAAATCCATCTCCTCTTTATCACAGAGGATGCAAGACCTGCTTGCATTATATAGTTGTTTGTGCAGTTACCACATTTATCACATTCAGATAATGATTGCATTTTAAAAATTTGTTTAGAGTAAAAAATGAATTTCATGTATCTAGAAAACCTGACTTAAGTAATAAAACTACTTTAGTACTGTATATATTTATATATTTATTTGATGTTCGTATGTTGTCTATGAGTAACATTGAAATAGATTCTTTTTAAAATGGAGATGTACATTACTGTATATATTTTTTGTGTTAATTAAATTAAATTCTTATCTACAGGGTACCTGCGTGTGTCCTCTTGACACATGTTGCCTGCATATTTATTTATGATCTAGATTCTCCAACTGGAATGAGAAAATGGAGCCCAATACTTCAAGCAATAGGGCTTTATCTTGTTGTTTTGGGCGTGTTACAGGCCATATTCTCCTTTCTCACAGCAACTTTAGTATGTCCAATTTTAGCAGCTGCTGTTTTGTTGTGTAAGTGTTAATTTTTGTCGATATTGTTTTTTGGTAAAAACATATTTGTAAATAATAACATATAATGTATTTCCATTTCTGAATCTTGTACCTATACACAAATATAAGTTTGTTTATTATAATGACATGCATATTCAGTTAAAGTATTATCTGCAGATGGTGTAGTTCGCAGAGGGTTGAGACATGTTTGGGACGCAGTTATGTTCCATGCTGTAATTAAAAAGCGTGGTCGAATCCCAGCCTCCGATAGTTTCCTTGTGAAGCGTATTGCTGGACCTGGCTTACATAATAATTTCTATTACCAGGTGTGTGTGTACTTTTAGCAATGTTTTTATTTTGGTGTGCCATAGTTCATAACTTATTTATCTAAGAGTGATATAACAGGATCAAACATACCATATTTATATATATATACACTACAGTGACTAATCTACAGTATTATCTATATTGATGGGTCATATTGGTCCTGGGTATTAGACTTGGCATGGATATTTTTAATATATTGCTGGGAGAGGAGGATATTGGTTCACTGGTGTCTTTTGTAATTTCTAATAAAGACATGGAGTCACTTGATGACCTACGGAAAGATGACGAAGTGCCAGAGTCATTTGAGGAACCTGCAGATCAGAATCACTTGATGACCTAGGAAAAGGACATGCAGCACAAGCTCTTTAGTGAGCCCTATATATTTGAATGTGATTTCTTTCATGCACCCTTTGGCTTTAATGTCGATATGTATGAAGTGTACATCCTTATTAACTGCAGCCTTACATACTCAGATCTGATCACCTTGGAAAATAGTATTGAAGGCTTGGTCAATTGCAATATGGCAATTTTTGGCTTCTATGCTATCTGTGTGCATATTTATTCTCTCTTTATTATAAAGTCATCTGAGCATCCTCAGGGTGTAGACAACTGTCTAATCTCAGGAATCTTTATTGCTTAAGGATACCTTACCTTGTGTGTACCATGTGTTGTTGGTTTTGGGAATCAATCCCCACAACCCGCTCTATGATCAGGGCTCCTGGATAGGCAAGGAGTTGCTCATTTATTGTTTGTACAAACTTTTCTTATTGTGAACCATTCAAATTCAACTTCATTATCTGAATTAAATAGATCACATGAGGATGAGGGTCAGTTTATTATAAATTCCTTTGACTATGACCCCTCAGTTTCCATTTTGCTCCTATCCAACTTTAAAATGAGAGAAAAAAATCTTATATTTGTTCACATTTTTTATTTAATTTCTAGTAAAAATATCTGCACTTTCTACCTGTACCATTTAAAAAGACTTAAAATTTATTTTCAAATTGATTAAAAAAGTTTTTGAGTTATGACTTTCTAAAAAAAAAATTATGGTAATCCAAGTAACTCGGTACTGATTTTTTGGGCTTGGTACCAAATTACTTGAGATCCTTAGGATGTAGAATATCATCATAAATACTACCACTAAGTAGTATAATATTTTCAGTTTAGCCTAACCCTTGTAACTATCTTATTAAATGGTCCTTCCAGTATCTTACTCAGTGCTGTTTTAAAATTTAGTCACACTTATATATTTTGTAACCAAAAGCAAAACAATTCCAAGTCAGTAGTACATGTGCAGCATGCATGCACTTTGGTGACTGAAAATAGTGGTGCCTCGGTTGAGATACATATACTTCATGTGTATGTGTAGAGTACAAATTGATCAATTTACTGTAATTATCTGACTCCTTTCTTGTTATGTGGCTGATATGGTTTGTTTACTTTGTGGATAACCAACTCTAAGGATAACATCTCAGTCACTGTATATGTATATACAATATATATGTTACAGTATATATTTATGTCAAGTAGAATGTCATCTGTAACAGTCTTCTTTGCACAACTTTACATCACATGTTTTCTGGAAGTCCTTCAATGGTATATACAGTAACCAGAGTATAATATTCTTTTAACACTTCCCTAAATTGGTTCTGCATATATAATAATTATTACAATTGTACAGAATTGTGAATAAATTGTAATAAAGTTTATTCTGTGGCTTGCAGATAAGCTGTGAACAGGCTTTAGCATCATTTGAAGCTAGGCTGGAAATGGACGAGTTGGCAGTTTATCAACATGAGATGGAAGCTATTATCCACAAACCACTTTGTGTTTACACGTAAGGCATCTTAGAATCTTTTTCATGTGTGCTCATGTGTGTTCTTGTTTGAAATAAGCAATCTGCATGATGACTTATCCATTGATTTCAAAGAATAAATTTTGGGTACATAAGCTGAAAGCAGTGGAGGTGGTGTGGTTATCATTCAGGGTTTGCAATTAACCATTCCTAAATTATGTCTACTAGGAAGGGAATGCTTAATTGTATGTAATTTAATTTGAAAAATAGTTTCCATAGTACAGTTTAACAAAATAATCAGCGGCTGCATGAACCCAAATGTTCACAAATATTTTGACAATAAATAAGTGGGAAAACATACATACCTCATCATTAACTGTGAAGAACAGTTTTTTTAACAAATTAACTAAATCCACATCTAGTGAGCAGACTTGGTCCGTTATTTAGAGGAATTCATTGTATGGGGGATCCAGATTTTGGAAGTGCCACTGTACAATAGTTATTGTCTGGTACTGTACATACAAAATCATCTTGTACTTTATTTTCATTTGTTTTAGGGATTTTGTACAGCGTTGCTTTGGTCCCTTTAGTGGAGTTATTGGCAGAACTGGCAACTATGACCGTGTGGAAAGAGAAGTGCGCGATCTCATCCTAACACTGCAAGAAAAAATTGACAGACGGCGACGAGATCTGGTCTTGGGCTTGCCCATCAGTGTCAGGTAAGATATTAGCAGTTGTAAATGCTTTCAAGTAAATGGATTGTTTAACATGTCTTTTTGTAAATGTTAATCTAAATGCTTACAATTTTGACAGCAGTTTTATATATTTTGTTCATATCATACACTTGAGGGGCTAAAATGCATATGATTCAAATCATCATAATGTACCAGTTATGAAGCAGTTCATGCTTTCCCTAATTTTATATTGTTAACCATCCCTATACAAACTGTCTTAATCTAGATCAACATGCATATAATTTTTTATTAGCTCATAAAGAGTGCAAAATATATAAATTAGAAACATTTTGTGGGCCATCCAACATTATAGATGGTATATAAATTTGAAGGATATCAGTAAGTTTAACCTAAATTACAAGAGTAAATTTTCTAACATCATTACCACAATAGGTAGGTTGATAATTGTACATAAAAAACAAGGCCCAGAAATATATCAGTGAGACTGATCAACATGTTATTGTATGATGACTATTTCAAGATACATAGAATTTGTTGTAAGTGGTAATGTGTGTTTGGGTCTTAAATTATTAATGTCTAATTTACTGTGTAGAACCTTAACACCAAAAGGACAATTATACCAAAAAAAAAAATTCTTTACAACAAAATTATATATAAGGCATAAGCTTCCACAAAATACTGCAATGTTATCCTTTCGTACTATTTACACGATTGATCCAAGACCTTGTCACAGTACATAGCACCGTGATCAACACAGTTGGGTCCCATCTAAACGGTTCTGGTTTTGATTCCTGCACAGGTCACGGCATTTAGGCACATTTCCTTATGCCTGATGCCTCTAATCACCTGGTAGTAAATAGGTACCTAAGCATTAAGCAATTGTTGTGACTTGCATTTTGGGGGGTGGGGAACCTTGATAAGCTTAACAGGCTTCCTGTTTCCCGACAATGTAAAACCAATTTACGCTAATTTTTCTGCTTCATCCCACTTAAATAAGTTTGATAATCTTAATTAGTTAACTTAAATTCATATAAGGCTTTTTCCTACTCTTAAAATAATTAGATATGCATCCAACTTACAGGTGGATAAAATAAAACAATAAGATTACTTACATTTTCAAAGTTGATCTCTGAGCAGTAGGCAAATTGATTTACAAATACATTACAGGTTTTATATAGTATTTGGTAAGGAATGAGTATGTTAAGATTAGCATTGTTTGATGGATTAACTGGAGAGTTTGTTTAAAATGCCTCTTTATATACCAACTTTTCAGCGTTGATGTGACATGATAAATTTGTGTGAATGAAACTGTATTGTTTAAATGATGTAAAGGTATTTTTTAATAATTTGTATTTGTTTCTTATTAGGTCAAAAATAAAATTGACAACAAGAGAATTAAAGTTGGCTCTAAAGCAAGCAACCATAATGCTGGAAGATTTCTACCCATCTCACGTACTGAATCGGATCATTGACCAGCAGGGAGTGGAGCCTTCTGGCCATGATGTGGGGGCAATTTTAAACAGACTTGATACAGTGCAAGGCAATAATGCATCTGGACAGAAACATGTTGGAATTGTGGAGAGAGGTACAGTGATAAGTGGAACACGGAAAGGTGGGCCAACAGAACCAAAGTTTGCTACAGTAGAGGAATGGTGGGACAGCAAAGGACTTGCCTTAGGTATGTTGGTGAGCTTACCGAGTTGCATTTTTGTATCTGTAGATCTGTTAATATCTTCAATGCTTTGTTTTTTCCCTGGGAACTCCCCTTTTAAGGAAATGGTCACAAGAGAAAGGCCTTCAAACAGCTATACTGTATATATAAACAAGATGATCTGGCTTGATATTTACCCCTTATGTCATTAGATTCATCTCATACATAATCCTCTACTTTTCTCTTCCATTAAGTAGGTTGTCTGCAAGTCATTCTTGACTTTGTGTGTGTTACACTTAACCTGTCCTCACACTTAACACACTGCAATTATTAAAGCTGTCGAACCATATAATAAAAATGTAGTTTTCTGGGGAGAGCCCTGTCTACTTCCTGAAGCTATCCGAACTGATATGTGCTATATATTAGTTTGGGGTCATGAGTCACAGGAGTCCTTATGCCTACTGGGAACCACGAGCCTGAACCTGGTCCCCTCAGAGAGACTCGGGGAGCAAAGGCCTATGAGCACTTTACATTTAAAGTATATCATAATTGCCATCAACTGGGGAAGGATCCAGAAAGGTAGGGGAATCGAAACAGACCACTGTCTGGTTAACCTGTGCAATCTACATCCCAAAAGATAAAAATAACTCCCTAGCAAAAAACAAACAAGCAACCCTTCATGCGACTAGCACTTCCGCTGGTCTCCATGGTGTAGTGGTAAGACATTCGCCTGGCGTTCCGCGAGCGCTTTATCATGGGTTCGTATCCTGGCCAGGGAGGATTTACTGGGCGCAAATCCTTAACTGTAGCCTCTGTTTAACTCAACAGTAAAATGGGTACTTGGTTGTAAAAACGATTCTCGAGGCGGGGATCGTATTCCAGGGACCTGCCCGAAACGCTACACGTACTAGAGGCTATACAAGAATGTAACAACTCTTGTATATATCTCAAAAAAAAAAAAAAAAACACTTTACTGCCTCCCCCGTGGGGTGGGAGAGGAGCTGGCTCACCTGAGCCAGTAGCTCACCACACCAGTTCTTGAACGATGAAAAACCGCCGACCGGAGGGAGGGAGGGTGTCAGGGAGTCTCCGGGGCTCGTCCAGAAAATGGTGTTTCATTACATTCAATGCAGTTTTTTTAGGGAATTTGCTGTATGTGAACTGAAATATATTGATACTGCTTCAGATTAATGAGCACTGGCCTTGATAGGGTTAAGTGGGTGTTTCGATTTAAATGCTTCTGATTAGGCAAAGTTACTTTAAATTTTTTGCTTATCAAACTGTGAGAATGGACTGTCACTCTAATATAACACACTTACAAGCCTACCATCGTTGATTTTTTTGTAATTTATTACTAAAATTTTACACTTTCACATATAATAAATACAATAACAATAATAATACAGTACTGTATGTGGTCGTGTTATTTTATTATTTGGCACCAACTGCCTGTTCTTTTCAGTGGCAGATGTTCTTTATCAATTGGTAAATCAATCTTACAACCCTGCATCTGTTTTCCTCTTTTCCTTTCTGTTTAGGTGAGAAAGTAACTTCCATTTCACCAGTAATTTCCTGTTCTGACTCATGTTACTCAACTATGATTTCATGAATTCCCTTTTTGTCAGATCCCAGGTATTTACCTCATTGTTGAATCCTAGTACTGTACTTCTTCATTCACCTTGATTTATTACCTTGAATTCTACCTCTCTTTACTATCATTAATTCATATTTATTTACCTCACACAGTAAAACTTTCAGTTGTTCTCTGCTAGAATAAATGTTGGTATCTACATACATCAAGTTTGATATACTATTTTTATTCATATTATACTCATTTTTTATCTGTTATAACACAACATACACACAGAAAACCTACAGGGGGACATTACACAACTTGGACATACCAATAACCTTAACGTAGAATCATCTCTACATGTAATGTTTCTCTAATATCGTACATGAACAGACCTTCTACAAGTCCTCATTTCTATGTAATGTTTTTGCTAGATCCATAAATCATTGTACGTCTTGAGTCATTTTTTCATATACAGTATATTAATTTTCAGTCAAATGTCTGATCCATATAACCTCTTCCAATATCAAATCCCCCAATTTTCCATATGTTTTATTACTCTTCCAATCACTTTCCTGACAAACACTTTAATACTATTCCTGTACAGTACTTGCCTTCTCCCTCTGGGCTGATGCCTCCCCATTCCATGAAAGTTGAGAAATGGTAATGATTATACAGTATGTATATGTATTAAAAAACTATTTTTATGGCTCTAGCATAACATTAAAAGGTATAGATAAAAACAAAAAACAAAAACTACCAGAAATATTTCATAATTTTTGTTTTTGTCTGCAGGTGACTATGGTGGTTTGGCTTCGTTGATGTTTACAGAAATCTTTAGTTCCGATTTCCTGACACCAATGGAAGAGTCGGACACAAGTTTCCAGATGGAAGTACGTGATAATTTCAATTAGAATTTAATTAGTATCTTTTCATAGTCAATATCAGCCATGTAGTGCATTGTAAAACTGTAGTATTTATATGTTCATATAAATATTTTGCTATTTGTTGCCTAAGATATACTGTATTAAATTATAAATATATTACCTTTCATAAAAGAGGCGCATAACTTATAAGGACAATATCCAATTTTCTTTTAGGTTCTACACACTTAATGTATTATTTTAACAGCTGTTTGATGTTGCTTTTGGCATCATTGCTTAGATACAATCATGCCTTCTACATTCTTGTATACTTTTTTGAGTATGGATCCCCTGGTAGTTGCCTGACCCAGGGACTATCCTGGACATTGCTCACATGCCACATTGTAGTCACCTTTTGTCCCACCATGACAAGGAAAACCATTCTGGTATGGCTTAAGATGAGCTGTGGGAAAAGAGCTCTAAGCCTACTTGTAGTAAATAAACATAATCTTGGGCTATAAAATAATATTCTAAAAAGTGTCATTATACAAGAACTCTTAGATGAATTTGAAGGAAGAATGAGAGTGCAAAATGAAATTAGTTTAATAATTATTTAGTGTGCAGATAAATTGTAAAAGCAAATACTAAGTACCCACTGAAGTCTAATTAAGACCTTTTATATCTTCTAGAATCATTTTGTGTTACTGCTCGCAGGAGTATGCGGGGCACAATAAACTAGCTACTGCTGATGACACCAGTGAAAATAAAGAAAAAACTTATTTGAATATCCGTATTATTGACCATTGAGTATTGTACTGTCTTTTGCATATATGGTTTGCAATATTTTCAGGAAACTGGCTTCTGAATAATAGGTGAATGACTTACAGTACTTAGCATTAAAACATATTGGTATGCAGTAGAAGTAAGTTTACACAATTTAGATTTAGCTGAATATATGAAGGGAAGACTTTATGCAGTTGATAAACTTTAAAAATATAAATTGTTATTTTGCAGGTACATGGAGTAAGCTTGTCCCGATACACAGAGATGACGCGTTGCATGCCAGACAGACCTGACTTGGATGAGAAGTTGACTGTCCATACACCTCGTGGTAATATCCAGGTCAGTATAAAACTCTTCTTATATATTTCCTCATGATAAATATTTATTAATATGAAACATAGCCATGGATTGAAGAAAATCTAATACAGTATCTGTAATAATCATAATTATTTCTACCATGTAGGTACATAGTCCATATCTGGATTTGGCTTCCTTCACACCCCTTGTTCGGCACGGTGTACCCACGCACCGCACGGGGAAGGCCAGCCTTGCAGCTCGACTATCACTACGACTCAACCCTGGAAGGAGAATGGGTAAGGATGGCATTTTAAAATATTCTATTATAGAGAATTTATTAAAAGAGTGGCTAATTTCCTGCCATCCAGCTGTTTAAGTAATAGTAATTCTGATTTACAGGCCGTGACCTATTACAACTACTTTTCAATTTACATTTCTGGAATATTTCAAAAACTATTTTATACAACTTGCTGTCCTTTGACAGTTATAAAAATATCACTTCTGGGTAATGTGCAATATATATAAATAAGGCATAAGGTAACTTGCTGCCCTGAGACTACAGGCCGATCACCGCCTGTAGCAAAGGTACATCATAAGTACAGTATAAGTATATGGATGAAGGTGTATGAAATTGTAGAAATAGTGAAAGATCACAGTGAGAAGACAAATTCTGTATAGTTCCTCATCTGGCAATGCAGGAAAATATGATTTAGTGGGTTTGTCTGAATTGTAGTTCAGAATGAAAGACATTGTTAAAGTGTTGCATTACTATTCACATACAAGAGACAGCTTTTATAGAATTGAGACACAAAATCAAAGATAATTAGTGACAAGTTCATTTTTATCTTTTTTCAGTGTATGGAAGCAGAGTCCCAGAGAAGCTTCTGATTCCACCACCTATACCCCATCCTGCTCACATAGCTGTTATTATCCATAACCGTGAAGCTTCGGAGCCTATTCCTCTTGATGCTCCACTAACCTTGCAGGTAGGTAGGGGGATGATGAGGGTGCATGTTGGTAGAGCGGGATTGGTGGGGGGAGAGGGACGGGATAGGATAGGGGGTGGAGATGGATGGTATAGGATAGGGCAGAGATGGGGAGGGAGGGGGAGGGGGCAGAGAGAGAGGGGAGGAGAGGAGAGGAGGGGGGGAGGGGGGGGAGGGAGAGGAGAGGAGAGGGAGGAGAGGGAGGGGAGGAGAGGAGACGGAGGAGAGGGAGGGGAGGGGGGGGGAGGAGAGGAGAGGGAGGGGAGGGGGGGGGAGGGAGGAGGAGAGGGAGGGGAGGGGAGAGGAGGGGAGGGGGGGAGGAGAGGCCCTCTCCCTCCCCTCCCTCTCCCCTCCCTCCCTCCCCCTTCCCTCTCCTCTCCTTTCCCCCTCCCCTCCCTCTCCTCCCCCCTCCCTCTCCTCCTCCCCTCCCTCTCCTCCTCTCCCCTCCCTCTCCTCCCCCTCCTCCCTCCCTCTCCTCCCTCCCTCTCCTCCCTCTCCTCCCTCCCTCCCTCCCTCCCTCCCCCTCCCTCTCCGCCCTCACTCCCTCTCCGCCCTCCCTCCCTCTCCGCCCTCCCTCCCTCTCCTCCCCTCCCTCCCTCCCTCCCTCCTCCCTCCCCTCCTCCCTCCTCCTCCCTCCCTCCCCCCCCTCCCCTCCTCCCTCCCCCCCCTCCTCCCCTCCCTCCCTCCCCCCCCTCTCCCCTCCTCCCTCCCTCCCCCCCTCTCCCCCCTCCCCTCCCTCCCCCCCTTCCCTCCCCCCCCCCCCCCCCCTCCTCCCTCCCCCCTCCCTCCCCCCTCCCCTCCCCCCTCCCCTCCTCCCCCCCTCCTCCCCCCCTCCTCCCTCCCCCCTCCCCCCCCCTCCCTCCCCCCCTCCCCTCCTCCCCTCCCCCCCCCCCCCCTCCCCCCCCCCTCCCCTCCTCCCTCCCTCCCCCTCCCCTCCTCCCTCCCCCTCCTCCCTCCCCTCCTCCCCCCCTCCCTCCCCCCCTCCCCTCCCCCCCTCCCCCCCCTCCTCCCCCCCCTCCCTCCCCCCCCTCCCCTCCCTCCCCTCCCCCTCCCCTCCCTCCCTCCCCCTTCCCTCCCTCCTTCCCCCCCTCCCCTCCCTCTCCTCCCCCCCTCCCCTCCCTCTCCTCCCCCCTCCCCCCTCCCTCCCCCCCTCCTCCCCTCCCTCTCCTCCTCCCCTCCCTCTCCTCCCCTCCTCCCTCTCCTCCCCCCCCCCCTCCCTCTCCTCCCCTCCCCCCCCTCCCTCCCCCCCTCCCTCCCCTCCTCCTCCCCCCTCCCCTCCTCCTCCTCCTCCCCCCTCCCCCTCCCCCCCTCCCCCCCCCCCCCCCTCCCTCCCTCCCCCCTCCCCTCCCTCCCCCCCCCCTCCCCTCCCTCTCCTCCCCCCCCTCCCTCCTCCCCCCCCCCCCCCCCCTCCCCTCTCCTCCCCTCCCCCTCCCTCCCCCCTCTCCCCTCCCTCCCCCTCCCTCTCCCCCTCCCCTCCCTCCCTCCCTCCCTCCCTCCCTCCCTCTCCTCCCTCCCTCCCTCTCCTCCCTCCCTCCCTCTCCTCCCTCCCCCCTCCCTCTCCTCCCTCCCTCCCCCCTCCCTCCCCTCCCTCCCTCCCTCCCCCCTCTCCTCCCTCCCCCCCTCCCTCCCTCCCTCTCCTCCCTCTCCTCCCTCCCTCCCCCTCCCTCCTCCCTCCCTCCTCCCCCCTCCCCTCCCTCCCCCCCCCCCCTCCCCCCTCCCTCCCCTCCCCCTCCTCCCCTCCCCTCCCTCCCCCCTCCCCTCCCCCCCCCCCCTCCCCTCCCCCCCCCCCCCCTCCCCCCCCCCCCCTCCCCCTCCCCCCCCCTCCCTCCCCCCTCCCCCCCCCCCTCCTCCCCCCCTCCCCCCTCCCCCCCCCTCCCCCCCTCCCTCCCCCCCTCCCTCCCCCCTCCCTCCCTCCCTCCCTCCCCCCCTCCCTCCCCCTCCCCCCCTCCCCCCCCTCCCCCCCCCCCTCCCTCCCCCCTCCCTCCCCTCCTCCCCCCCTTCCCCCCTCCCTCCCCCCCCCCCCCCTCCCCCCCTCCCCTCCCTCCCCCCTCCCTCCCTCCCTCCCCCTCCTCCCCCTCCTCCCTCCCTCCCTCCCTCCCCTCCCCCTCCCTCCCCTCCCTCCCCCCTCCCCTCCTCCCCTCCTCCCTCCCCCCTCCCCTCCCCCTCCTCCCTCCCTCCCCCCCCCCCTCCCCCCTCCCCCCCCTCCCCCCTCCTCCCTCCCCCCCCTCCCCTCCTCCTCCCTCCCCCCCCCCCCTCCTCCCTCACCCCCTCCCTCCCCTCCTCCCTCCCTCCCCTCCCCCCCCCTCCCTCCCTCCCCTCCCTCCTCCCTCCCCTCCCCCCCTCCCTCCCCCTCCCTCCCTCCCCTCCCTCCCTCCCCTCCTCCCTCCCCTCCCTCCCCTCCTCCCCTCCCCTCCTCCCCCTCCTCCCTCCCTCCCTTCCCTCCCAGGGGAGGGGGGAAGTGGGAGGGAAGGAAAGGGGAGTGGGGAAAGGAAAGGGACCCCCCCCTCTTCCCTCTCAAGGAGAGGAGGAAAAGGGAAGTAAAGGGGACTCTTCCCTCCTCCCCCCTTTCCCCTCCCTATGAGAGGAGGAGGAGGGAAGGAAGGGAGAGGAAAGTAAAGGGACCTCCTCCTAGGGTAGAGGGAGGAGATAGGAAAGGGGAGAGGTAAGAGGAAAGAAACCCTTGAACACACCAGAGATGCTAGTGTGTTCAGGAGTTTGCCTTTTCAAGGCCAGGCCACAGGAATGGAGTGTTGTATTTACCTTGGGTATTTCATGGGTTTCTTGTGTGTAATTATCTAAGCACAGTTACGGATGAGAACTATGCTCTTGGTGTCCCATCTTCTTGGTACAATTTGTCACATGACGCTTTGAAACTAGTGACAGTTTTGGCATCCACTGTCAGTAGTTTCAAAGCATCACATGAAAGACGGGACACCATGAGCATAATTCTTATCATGTAACTGTGCTTAGATTATTACACATAAGAAACCCATGAAATACCCAAGGTACGTAAAACACTCCATTCCTGTGGCCTGGCCTTGAAAAGGGCAATATTATATTTGTCATAGTTACCTGTACACCAGCTTTTCTGGTAATTACCGGAGAAGCTGGTGTGTGCAGATAACTATGACAAATATAAAATTGTTGTCTTACTAAAAACATTACTTGACAGGTCATTCGTACCATTGAGGATTCTCCCCACGTTATTGTTGCCCTTGCATCGCTGGGTGAGGAAGAGACGCCTGTGTCTGATTCGCGCTCATCCTCCCTTTCGCACGATCGTTCACTTTACGATGATCCCTCTCTCTATGATGGGCCCTACAGCAATACTTCACAATCAGGCACAGCAGATAGAAGAGGTACTCGTTGTTCACTTGGGCGCTCCCGGACTGCCACACTGGAAATGACGGCAACTTTAGATCGTATTACAACAATGGAACAGCGCACAAACATGAATGAATATAATAGGTTAGTAATGTACTAAAAAGCAGAAATAAATTTGAAGTTAACTGCCTAAGAGCACATGTGTTTTAGCATTTATCCTGTTTTATTTCTAACACAGTTGAAACACTTAAGTAGATCTAACATCATTCTTTTGAAAATTGATTCATATGATGAAAGCTTTCAGCATTTGTATATTTCCTAGCTATTATAAATTGCATATATTTTCTGTACCTTCTTTTTTCATAAAAAATAAGGCTGATTTAGCAGTCTAGACCTTTATCCCATTTATATGTATCTTCAACTTACATAAAGTGAGCTGAAGTGAAAAGATTCCTCCACTCTGCTAGAGCGCTACATCACTGTTTTCAGCGCACACTAAGTTTTGTTGTCAGGTGAGGCCTACATTTACAGTCATTCTCAAAATCCTTCCCCAGTAAGCACTTACACTGCACACAATCATTCTCTTGGCAATACAGTATCACTACACACTATCTTTCAACCACTTGTTTACCATATCTACCTACTGTACTTTTCTGTCCCTTCACTTCATGTTGTCTGTACCATTTGGACATCTAAGTCATTCTCTTTAAGCATGGCTAGACCTTTTCAACAGATTTTTCAGCTTCTGAAGAAACTTTGCAGTTTCTTTTATTTAAATTATATTTTCTTGAACTTAATTTACCTAGCCATAAAGAGACTAATTATATGGAATCAAAATTGCACTATACTTATAAACTTCCACACTTAACATGTCCACAAATTTAAGGTTCTTAGAAAGCTAATTTAACATATAAATAAAAAAATTTAAAACTCATTTCTGTTTTTCTCTAACACTTCATCCTAAAAAAAAAAAAAACTTATGCTTCACAGTATCATTCTGCCAACTTCATCTGCATATAATATTCAATTTAACTTTCTATTTTGTTTCATCATTGCTCATTCATGATTTGCACACACTATATTTTCTCGTGTTACTCATCTTCACACCATATCTTGAGAGGATTTCGAGGCTTAGTGTCCCCGTGGCCCGTAGCAGCTGTAACTCCCAGTTACGTATTTACTGCTAGGTGAATAAAGGCATCAGGGTGAAATAAACTCTGCCCATTTGTTTCCGCCTCCACTGGGGATTGAACCCAGAACCTTAGGACTACGAATCCCAAGTGTGTCCACTCATGTTTATATTGTGTTCATGTTTATATTAAATCCTTGTATTTATATCGAATCACTCTCATTGACTCTTATCAGAGTCCCAGTAGTACAGTCGGGTTCATTCTCAATGCACAATCAAGAATTCCGAGTTCGAATCCTGGGTGGGATAGAAATGGTTGGATACATTTCCTTTCATCTAATGTACCTGTTCATCTAGCAGAAAATAAGTACTCAGGAGTTACTCAGCTTGTTGTGGAGTTGCACCCTGGGCGGGATCAGTAATTCAGCCTTGGGCAGGGGGCCCCTCGATATAAGTCTACCGTGAATAAGTACACTCTGGCTTCATATCCTCCGACAATGAATTATTATAATTACATGCATTATTTATATTTTTTGAACTATTATTATTTTCCACAGCACACAAGTTATTCCTGTACACCATAGAGCAGTGTTGTGCCACAAGAGATATGCAAATGTATTTTTATCACTATGATTAAAATGAGCCTATTTGAGTCATTTTTGTGTTTAAATTTTCTCTAAACCAGTATCAAGAGCAGAGACAGAAATTTTTTCTTGTAAGTTGACAATGAAATCCATATTTTTACCTAAAGTATGTTGTGGTGAAGTATTTACCACAATTATTTCAAGGGGTACAAAGGTTATGAAACGTTGCCATAGAGACCCAAGAATAGGCCCAAGCTGGGTCTTACCTGAAAACACCTGGGTCAGAGTGTTTTGAAAATGCTTTCACCAAATTTGTATGTGTAGCACATTTGTTTAAAACTTTACTTATTAATAATAATAATAAAAAGGATGATAATTTTTGATTGATAAGAATGTGTGTACAAAGAACATAAGATCAAGGGACAATGATAATCAAACCATACATCAGAAGATGAAGAAACAACGACGTTTTGGTCTGTCCTGGACCATTATCAAGTCATATATGAGGACTTGATAATGCTCCAGGATGGACTGAAACGTCGTTGTCTCTTCAATTTCTAGTGTGTGGTTTAGTCAACATATCTTCAGCTATGTTGTTGTGACTCATCTTCTGCATGAGGGGACAATTGTAGGTACAGGGCTTACAAGTTCAACTGAAATTACTGCTATGCAAAGCATTATTACAAAAATTTTAAATCTTAGCCTCCACCTTTTATTTTTCCAACCCTTCTTGTGCCTCTATCTTTATATAATCCCAAATTTTCCCAACATACATCACTTCCATATGCTTATATGTATCATATATTTAATGTTCCATACAGCTACCTAAAATCTTAAGAGGTATGTATGTTTGCAGGCTTGTCAGAAGTGTAAATTGATTTGTAAAAGCATGTGTGACATGGATAAAACAAATTGCACTACATGCTAGGTATGTATGAGACCATTACATGTAAAATGATGAAAAACAAATCAGATCAGGATATCAGAAGGTTGCCAAGGTGAATAAATGTTTTGGAGATCACCAGATGCATGACAAAAAGTCTGTATTGCAGAAAATAACATTTCATACAGCATCATAGCAATATTCATGTGAATGTATGTTTCATGTTTGAAGTCCTGCAACTCCATTTAGGTATTTGGATAATGAGAAATGAATTGGCAGAAAGAGATGATAAAGGAAAGAGAAACAGACACCTTCATGCTTCTCTACTAGTTAAGGGTTACAACTTACTTCCTTCAGTAAATTAATTAATTACATCCATGGCTGCAATGATTAGCTAAAAATCTTTGATGAGATAAATTTGTTTATGTAATCTTAATATTTATTAAATATCCACTTGACAAATCAAGAGACAGGATAACATCTATTACAGGCTACAAAATAAAAGTTGCATTACCAATACTTTGAGCCAAACCTGTACCAAGTGATTTTGTAAAATTTGTGCTGACTGGCAGAAAACCTTATTTAAGAGGATATATATATCTAACAATAATCAACAAGCACAAGCAAATACATTGGAAACATCTGTCTAGTGAATAGGATAAAAGTGGTTTCTAATTCTTTGCTGGATTTATTTTTGACAATACATAGCAAATGCTTTAATTCATGATTACTGTATTCATAATCTTTAACCTAATATATTTTCCCTTTTCAGATCTAGCACGTTAGAATTAACTCCAACAAGAATGGCTCAAAGGCTGGCAACACCACTTCGCTCTCTACTAGAGGGGCAACGACCATTCACTGTCTCTCTCAATCTTGCTTCTGCAGAAGATGTCAGCCTTGAAGTAGAAGAAGAACAGCCTATTCCTCTCCAACCCCTTACTCATTCTACTTATACAACAGCTGTGTGATGACAAGCATAGGGGTTAGTAATCATCCCTGCAAACTTTATATGTAAATCCAGATATGCAATTTCTTCTTGGCTATAAGTGTGTTCTATCCTTTACTACCCTGTAGGATGGTAGAGGAGTATCTGTTTAACTCCAACCACAAACCTATTTCATGTTATAATATTTTATCACAGTCACGAACTGAATTTCTTCTCAGCCCTGACTCCCAGATCAAAGACCCTACTGCCATAGGTTATTGAGTTGGGATGGCTTTGTCATTTCATTTACTGGGCACACACCTGATATCCTATTGCTGGAAGAATGAGTTGGGCGTAAACATTATTCAAAATCTATTCACAAACTTATTTACCAAAAAAAGGAATCTACATCATTTAAAAAAACAAAGTGAAGTTAAAGGAGGACACTGCTTAAGTCTATATGAAATGTAAATTGTGGGCAGGTATAAGGAAAATGTTAATACAGTATGATACAGAATCATATTGTAATTACTGCTGGTGTCAGTGATTAAAGTATTAGCTTACAGAAATCTGTATGTATTATATGGTTGTGTGGCACAGGCTTGGACTGTGGCAGTCAGAGATTGTATTTTCACTCTTGATGATTTTTGAATGTTCATTCTGAATTATCTCACTGAGAAAATTGTTGATCTCCACTGATACATTTTAAAGTAAATGTTGTTGTTACATGCAATTTGACAGAGTATGGGCAGGTGTTGCTTGTGCTGGTATCGTATATTGTTTCAAAAGCAACTTTTGCATAGTATTTGCACACCACTTTGTGCTCAATTGGATAATAAGTATGTAAGTATTTAAATCTGTGATCATATTATGACAGTTTGAATCAAATCATGTATCCATGTAATACTGAAATCCTATAGTATCATTTAAAATGTTAATTTATATCGTTATATGATTACTTTAGTAAATACAAACAACTTACTACTCAAATTATTTATATAACAATGCTTTATTTGCATTTTCTTTGAGTATTTCATCTGGTAAAATAATGCACCATTGTTAACTAATACTTAAAGAAATAAGTAAATTATGACCCCCAGAGTGCTGGCCACATACATTATTTACATATTTCATATATATACAAAGTTTTTCCATGCTTCACTTTCTATAGTGAAGTGTAGGTTTACCTATCACAAAGTTATTATAAAACTTATTCTTATCTTGCACCAGTTTTGAGGACAGAAGACACATTACTTCTGTAAATTTCTTATTTAATCTCCATTCTTTTGGCTACTTAGACATTTAAGATAATTTCAAGATTGTAAGATTAAATTCAAATTAATAAGGATTTGTTGTAAAAAAGTGGAGTGCCACTGCAACAACTGAAATAAAGATTTGTATTTTCTTACAAAACATATGATAAAAGTCACTGAATAAATGAAAAGTGAAAAGAAAAATGTATATTGGCATAACTATCAGATTACAGGAAAATCTTGCTTGAATTGATTATTTCCAGGTTGTCCCAGTACATCCATTTTTTTTTTTTTTTTTTTTTTTTTTTTTGCTAAAATTAAAATATGATTGTTTTCTTTTTTAAAGAGGTAAGATGTTGATTTCAGCATATTTGCATACTGAAGTAACAGAGTAGTACACTTCTGATACAAACATGAAACTACTGTGGTTTTTGTACTTTTAATAGCAATTTATTTTTTTAAGGATTTTACATACAGTAAACCCAAAAAAGTTTTTATTGCATTTACCGACCCAAGTTCCTGTCTCGGAATGAAGCTCACAATTTTCAAAATTATATACAACAGTTTTACAATATCTGAAAACAAGTCCATTGGATTTTTCATGGCCACCCCAACCCCCATTTTTCAGCTTTCTAGATTGTTTTTAATTTAATTAAACACGATATGATTCAATGTCTAGAGATAAACTAGTAATTTATCAAATTAAACCCTTCCATATTATATTTTCCCCATACCAAAAACTTCCCTTGGGCTAAGATTTTTTATGAAATTTAAAAACCGATTAAACATTTTTAGGGAGCTTTGGTATCATATCTGTTCTTGGAATAATACAGGTACAAGTAACACTTTCAGTGATTGAAACTTGCCATGTTCTAAATAAAAAGTCATAATATAAATAAGAAAACTGAATTGATTTCCCACAAACCAAACCGTTCATTTTGGTTTAGACATTAACCACTATTTATGGAGATACAAGTAACCATGTTCTATTCCGATACAGGTTACGCCGACTAACAAGTTTCTCATTTATGGTTTATCTGAATTAACTAACAAAATTGGTCTTGAGATGCAAGATTCTTAGTTTTCCTGCTGACCACCATAGATGCCAGACGAGTGCTTCATTTTGCTGTGTGACATGGTTCTCAAGCATTCCTGTTTTTTGTATAACTAGGATTTATCATGGTAATTCTGAAATATCCTTACACAATATCACCTCTGAATATATTAAGTCCAGTCTATCAAGACTATTACTACAGTAGCATCAAACCCAAACAGAAACATTCTATGATGACATTTAAGAAAAAGGTAGGGCTAATAATGAAGGATGAGGGAGCCATCCAAAAGTGTCTTGTGCGCACAAAGCACTAAGAGACCAGGAAAGAAACTCTGATATTTTTAAGGCAGTGAGTAATGCTAAGGTGAAGATTGGTGGTGATGCAGTACTGGACTGTTAGAAAGACATGTGGAACCAAAGTCAATGGCAGGCTGGTCATGTATGGAGAAGGTAAGGGAATATTATGTCATTAATATCACTGACATTTGTTTGAATATTGATTATACCTGCTTGATGGGGGTTCTGGGACTACTACTATTCCTCAAGCCTGGCTCAAAGCCAGATTTAGATGGCTGGGTTAGTTGATTTAAAAACTGCCATGGTAATGATTATATAAGAAACAGGGAGATGCAGTCAGCTGGGTACACCATTAAGTATTAATTCTACTCCAGACAAATCAACCTGAACTTCCACCTCACAAACTATCTGGATAATTATGCACTATCAACAGTACCTTCAACTTCATAAGAGGATCAGCACTTAACCCTCAACATTAGGCCATCATTTGTTGTGTCACTTTGGTCACTGGGATCATTGTCATTTGACAATTATCATTATTATCGCCTGGCTGTATACCAATAATAATAATATTGAATCCATTCCTGGATTCAAACAGGCTGGAAAGGCCAGACAGAATTGCAGCAAATGAATGGGTTATTATTATAACCCACATCCTATGAGCTGTGCCAGGAACAAATTATGTGCAAGAGGTGCACATATTACTTTGTTTGCCTATACACGGTACTCAATCACCGTTTTCTGGTAGAGTCCCAGTGGATCCCTGTAGCTATCTTACTGAGATTTCTCCATTCTAATGTGTCACATCAAATGCAGGAGTTCTGTTTGGCCTACCAGGTACCAGCAACAGAACCTGGCCCCCTTTATAGTGGCACAAAGAGCAAGTGACTTATTTGCTACTCCACCAGGAAAGCATCCAGAAAGTCACTGGAATTTTACAGATAATTTGAGTGTTCACAGAAAACAAAGCCTCAAAAATGCCAAACAACTCTGTAAATAATTCACAGGGAGCAAGAGATTCACTCAAACTAGCTCAAAACTCATTAGTACAAATCGCCACCACCGGACAACCCGCCCCCTGCCCACATGCGGCTCCCTTGCTCAGTTTTCTTGCCAATGTTCTGGCGGACTGTTCTACCAGTAGTTCTCCAGATCCATCAGACATTGTGAGCCCCTTCTCTGCTTCAAGCTAAGTGTCGACTGTCCTTGGAATTTGTTTTGCATGGGCCATTAGCTTTGTATTTACAGTATTTTGATTCTTTTAGTGTTCAGCTTCATGTGTGTATTTTCTCTGGCTTGTGGGGGCTTGGCTTCTAGTGTATTGGAAGCTGTCTATCCTCAAGATTTCCTTCTCTAGGTGCTTACTAATGCTGCCCTACACTAACAGAGTTATCTTTTCTGGTGTGTACTTCCTTACATACTTCTCTGGTGTGTTTGGAACTTTGCATATGAAAGGCCAGGGCACTTGGGTGAAGTCTTGCTTTGGGTTGTTCAAATGTCTAACTCCTCTACTTGGGCCCTTGGCTGGGAGCATTCTGGTGGATGTACTGGGGTTTATGTGCTTCTTTATATGGTACACTGCAGTCACCATTCTTAGCCTGGTTGTTTTGGCTGCATTTGGTGTCTGTTTTTCCAGCAAGCAGCCTCAGGTTCCTAGGTGTCCTGCTTGGTTAGCAACTTTCAGGCTCTGGTAATTCCCTTGTGGGTCTCTGGCATGATCCATTATGGATTAATCCATCGAGCCCATGCTTGCTAAGTGTGAGCATGACGGGTGTTCGTCGTCATTGCTACCTGACAATGATCATTGTTTCTGCCTTTTGCCATTCTGCCTGCTGGATAGGTGACATTTATGATCCCGAGCCCTATGAGGTTTGTTTTCACTGGGTCTCTTATTTGACTGTTTCAGCTTCAAGTTCATAAGTTTTCAAATTATGAACTTAAACTTCAAGTTCAAGTGTACCTGTTGGGGACAGGTTCAGTGTGATATCAACTCTCAGATCTTTCTTTCTACTTGACTCTTGAAGGATTTTACCCCCAGATGGTACCTTGTGTTTGGCCTCCTGCTTCCTTCACCTAATTTGATTACTTTACACTTACTTGAGTTAAACATTAGTAACTATTTTCTAGACAATTTCTCCATTGTGTCCAGGTCATCTTGCAGTCTCTGTCTATCTGCCGCTGTCTTGATTCTTCTCATAATTTTTGCATCATCAGCAAACATTGAGAGGAATGAGTCTATACCCTTTACATATACAGTATCAGAAATAGGATGGGTTCAAGTACAGAACCCTGCGGGACTCTGATGGTAACATCTCACCATTCTGATGTCTCCCCCTCACGGTAACTCCCTGTTTTCTGTTGCTTAGATACTCCCTTATCCACTGGAGCACCTTACCTGTTATTCCTGCCTGTTTTTCCAACTTTTGTAACAGTCACTTACAGGATACTGTGTCAAATGCTTTCTGAGAATCCAAGAAAATGCAGTCTGCCCACCCTTCTCTTTCTTGCCTAATTTTTGTCGCCTGGTCATAGAATTCTATTAAGCATGTGAGGCACAAATTACCATCCCTGAACCCATGCTGGTGGTGTGTTTCAAAGCTCCTTCTCCAGATGTTCTACAAGCTTTTTCCTCACAATCTTCTCCATCACCTTATATGGTATACAAATTAGGGGAAACTGGCCTGTAGTTCAGTGCCTCTTGCCTGTAACCCTATTTTGTATACTGGGACTACATTAGCTGTCTTAGTGAGAATGTGGCAGTGCTTGGTTCCACACCAGGTTTGGAGACCTTGAAGCCTGCAGTTCTGGCATTGGCATTGCCCAAGATGCTCGCCTCTATCCTTCAGGAGGGAGTGGCAGCATTTTATTTTATCCCAGAGTACATGTGGGTTATATAAATATACCCTGGACTGGCTTCAGTAGGAGCCTGCAGACATCCTTGTGGATTCAGTGGAATCCCAGGTTGAATAAATTATACCATGTTGTGGTCCAGACATAAGGTGTGCTGCTTGGGAAGCCCAGGTCGAGGATTTAAATCTCTTGATTGCTCCAATTGATTTTCTCATTAATATAGTATGTTAGTGTAATTTCTTTGTGTACTGAAGTTGGAGTGTATGGTGGAGAATTTAATTACCTACACCAGAGTGCATAATTATTTGTATTATTATTGTTATTTGTTTTTTCATTGAAGGGAATTTTTCATTTTTTTAATTCATTGAAATTGAAGGGAGGACTTGTACATAGGACACAATTGGTTTCTTAGAGGGTCATAGTCCCAAGGTGTTAGCAAAGTACTGTATAGTACATGGTTGCCTGATCCAATATCCAGTCTGACAGCACAGCAAAACAAATCACTCTCAAAATTAAAACCAGCCTTGCAATCTTTTTTGAAAACTGGCTCATTGACTATTTCAAGGCAAAAGCTTTTTGTATTGTTAAGACTATTGTGTTTGTGAACTTTATTAGAAACCTAATTAAATTTAATATCTTATTATTTACAGGTGTTACAATAATTTTAATTTTGGTAGCTGTATAGTGCAGCAGTTTTATCTTTTCTTTTTTTAATGCCAATATCTATGTAGTCTAGTCAAGCTAGTGAGTGTTTACATTGCACTGTGATCCATTGCAACCATTCTTATGACTAAATCCTTCTATTGCATCTAATTGAAGGGAGGACTGGGTTTCATTCGAGCAAGATTTCACTGTACTGTATGTGCTTTAAAAAATTAATATTTTTACCGAGGTGCAGATTATTTCTTAATAATATTGGGAAAATAGGGAAGTGAAATTTTCCCTGTATTCTTTGACATCCTGGACATTGATTGACAGAGAATAAAGCCTGTTTAATCACTACTTACAATAGATATGTATGGTGTACAGGAAGATCTCCAGGAGAATGGTTTGCTCTGGGGGTTTTGAAAGCCTTGATCACCAGTATTATCCCCGAGTGATATATCATGTAAGGTTAATATATGTAGAATGTTTATGATGAAAACTAATTTTTTGTCTATGATTATGCATTTTTTTTTTTTAAATAAGAGTATTTGGTTGAATAGAAAACATGGGGTGTTTACCTCACTATTTTTGTCAGGGAAAAAACACTTCGGTTTGTTTATAACTGGGGCGCTATGTTGTACATTTCTGTGATTTATTTTGTGAATCTCCCAAGTGTATTTGTTAGAAATATTTTCTTGTTTGAATTTGATTTTTTTATATAATAGTACCATTGGAATCATTCTTGTATTTCATACACTTCATTGTACAGTATTTGACTGATGATATGACATTCATTTGTTTAGCATGCAATCAGGACTCATTTTCATAACCATTTAGAGTATTCAACCTTTCTAGTAGATTTCATTATTCATTTCATGCATCATATGGTTACTGTAGGGTTTAGGTGTGCAAGATTTATACTGCAACATGTAAGACAATTGGTCGTTGTTTGTATGCTCAGTTGCTAAATTGTG